CATTGAAGCATAACAAAATAGAAGAATAATGTAATAATTGTTTATCAATTTATCAAAATCTTATTAATGATCACTCACACTAGCACGAAGGAGAGAAACGTAGTTGACATGTCCCTGGCCCTTGGCAATATGGACCATCTCTTGCATTGGCCCAACATTGGATAAAATGTCTCACTCACTCCTTATTTGTTCATTGCGCATAAAATCAAACAACCTTTGCCTTGTTGCTAGAATCCAAACAAAAGTTATAGCACACAGCACAGCGCCAAGTGGCTCACCAGGATCATTTATAATTTTCTAGGTCAACACCCTCACCTCCTCACCGATATTTCCAACACAGAGCTTGTCCCACATGCATACACTTGAAGCACAAACCCCAACACAAAAGTTATATGTCATGCGATGTGCCAACTTTAGCATGCTTTTCCTACCATTTGGATTTATCCTTGTGGCACAATAGTAAATATTAGACAACTGAAATTTACCACAAATGTCAGATAAATGAAAAATGGCTTAGCCTTAAAATGGACCTGAATGATCTTGGCCAGGTTGGGTAAATGACATGAGAATTGCAAAGCCCTCACATTGCCTTTGTAGGGTTGCAAGCCACCTTTGTGCACCAAAACCCATGCCAGAACTTAAGTAATGGCCACCAGAGACTGTGAATGTTACTCTCATCATATTCAGTATGCTCAATCCAAGTAACCTGCATTACCACATATTAAAAAGCTAAAGTCGCCTTCTAGTTAAAAGTAAAAAATAAAAGAAGAAACATCTACCTACCAACCATCAGAATTTCTTCACTACTTATGAAGAACACCTTAATTGATTATTTTATTTAGTTTTTTTTTAATTGGAAAAAATTATCTTATTTGGGAAAGTTAGGATATCGCTATTTTGTGTTTTGGTTTTCTTTCATTGTACTTATTCAAAGTTTGAATTTCTATCTTGTGTTGAACTTTGCTCCTATAACTAGGTTTTAAATCTTGGAAAACATAATTAGATAAGACAAAGAATGGAAATCATTGAATTTTCTACCATCATTCGACTTTGCTTTTGCAGAAGCTTATACAAAATTCTTGCAGTCTCTATTCTTGAGCATTATTGGTTTTATAACAGGTTCTCTTTTTTCGGTTTCTTCATCGCCTATTATCGTCCCGCACTGGTTTGCGTATACCATGTTCATTTTATGGGCATTTGATCATTCCTTTGTTGTTTATTGTCATACCACCATAATCACGGAGGCATATAATTGGCTTCCTCGAAAGAGCAAAAAGATCTGTGACAAGATAAGCAGCTCGTGGAGAGGCCATATACTGCCATATTTGGAAAATAAGAAAGTCATATATTCCCAACATTTATATAAAATGTATCACATCATTGCATCAGTTTTAACATATTAATTGTGAGAATATTTAGCATTATAGTACAAAATTCAAGTTCGAGTTTGAACTCAAACTCGATACCTAAAATTGGAATTCGAGTTCATATAATCGTGTTTTATTCAAGTTCGAGAATACAAGCTTCAATCGAATTCGAATATTCGAGCTTCAATCAAATTCAAGTATTCAAGCTTTAATCGAGTTTGATTCCTACTGTGATCAAACTTGACTTGAATGACTACTTGAACTACTCAAACTCGACTCGACTCGACTAATGTCGAGCTGAGTTCGAACCAAAATCGAGCTGCTCGACTCAATTTTAACCCCTAGTCCAAGGCTTAGTAGCCATGTCTCTATTGGAAATACATCTAGCAAATATATATAGTATTCTATTTGTCACCATCATTCGGCTTTGTGTTTGTAGGAGCATATACAAACTTCTCACAGTCTCTATTATTGAGCATTATTGGTTCCATAACAGGTTCTTTTTCTTTGGTTTCTCTAGTGTCTGTCATCATCTTGCACTGGTTTGCGTACACCATGTTCTGATGTTCATTTTATAGGCATTTGGTTATTCCTTTGTTGTTTATCGTCATGCTACCATAATCACGAAGGCATATAATTGGCTTCTCCAAAAGAGCAAGAAGATCTGTGAGAAGATAATCAGCTCGTGGAGAGGCTACATATTGTCATATTAAAAGTATAAGTAGGTCATATATCTACAACATTTATATAAAAATGTATCACATCATCGCATCAATTTTAAAATATTAATTGTAACAATATTTAACGCTACAGTACCTAATTCGAGTTCGAGTTCAAGCCTGAAAAATCGAGTTCAAGCTTGAACTCGGTGCTTGAAATTGGAATTTGAGTTTTTATAATCGAGTTTTAGTCGAATTTTATTTGAGTTCCATTATTCGAATTCGAGAAACAAGCTTCAATCGAATTTGAGTATTCGAACTTTAATCGAGTTCTACTTTGATCGAATTCGACTCAAATGACTACTCGAACTCAACTTGACTAATGTCGAGCCAAAATCGTGATCACCTCAAGCCATTCACGAACGATTCGGCTCGATTTTCACCCCTATCAAGAACCAAGGCTAATGACCCTTCGCGACCGGCAAAAGAAGACTCGTCACTCGATTGGTCCCTCACCACGCTTATAAAGGCTTTGTTGGCCAAAAGATCATGAGCTTCAATAAATGAGTCACCACTTAGAAGGATATCCTCCCGATTTGGGAGGGAGGTGCACACAGGGGGAATCTTTGAGGCCCTAGGAGGTCTCAATAACAAGTCACCACCATGGAGAGCATCCTTTCGGTTAGGGAGTTAGGTACTCATGGGGGAATCTCTGAGGCCCCGGGAGGTCTCAGTAACAAGTCCCCACCTGGGAGGTCTCCCTCCCGGTCAGGGAGGTTGGTGCTCACAGAGGGAATCTTTGAGGCCCTATGAGGTCTTGGATGAGGGACACTCTAGCTTCGTCAAGGCCCTAAGAATGTGTTGGTGCCTCCTTTGGCAGGTGGCAAACATGGCCAAACACACAACACTTTGGACACTACTCGACTTCCATTCATAAACAACTTCGACTTCATGAACTATGCTGAACATACTAACTTTAAATTGATGTAGCACAGGACTATTGACATCGAGCTCCACACACACCCAAACATAATCAAGTCAGGTGAACTCATAAGTCGATTGGTTGCACCATAGGGGGCGGCCAACTAAACTAGATGCAAAGCCCAAACCCTTATGCAATCAAAGAGCAAAGGGCAAATTGTGTAAATAGATCCAAATAGAAACTTTTTTATCCGAGAAGCTCCAAGACATTCAGTAGGTTGCCATTGGCAGAGGATGATATGCTTCCCCTCAAATGGCCATGGGCCATTCATTAAAACTAAGTGGATTGGCATCTTCGTCCTTGAAACGGAAGAAAAAATCATCCCCAACTAACTAGACTTGCCGAAGTCCATAAGAAGTCCACACCGTTCTGGCTATAGACTTGACGGTGGGATCATTATTCTGAAAATTAATCTAAATCAAATAAGATTTTTTCTATTGAAAATGGAAAGAAGGGAACTTATTTTCTGTTATCCTATTCTATTCAACTCAAAACATTTAGATTATATTTGTTAATTTAGCTAAACATCCCTCACAATAAAAGTTTAAAAATTACTAAAGCACCCCTCAAAATTATTTGTTAATTTTTAAAGTTTTATTGTGGGGGCGGTTTTGTTAATTTTTAAAGTTTTATTTTGGGGGTGTTTTGCTAAATTAACAAATGTAGGGGGTTAAAAAAATATTTTCAGAAAATGTTTTTAAAAAATATACCAAACAATTATTCAGCATCTTATCCAAATCTGATATAATTTTCAAATATTATATCAAACATATTGTCAGTATTATATCCTATTATATTTAATCTAACTCAACTCAACTTAAAATGATTTTTCAGAATATCAGATTTCAAATAATTTACCAAACAAGCCCTTTAGGATGTGTTTGTTTTGTTATTTTGGGTAGGATTTTTGAAATTCTACCTAAAATACATATTTGTTTCCTATTCTGAAAATCCAATTCTATTTAATTCAACTATTTTTAAACCTCCTAGGTTTGTTAATTTAACTAAACACCCAAAAAAGAATTTAGAAATTGACAAAAACACCCCCACCCACTCACATTTGCCAGATTCTGGCCACCACCACCTAAAGGTGGTCAGAATCTAGTGTAATGGCATACTATTGGCTGGATCTAGCTAGTAGTGCATCGATCTAACTTTTTCTGGCCAGATCCACCGTGGATGACCAGCTACGGCCAGATCTTGGTTGTAGATTTAGTATTTTCTGACCAAATCCATGGTGGATCTAACCGAAAAAGATTATATCAACACACGACCAACCAGATCTAACCGATCGTACTCCATTACGATGACTTTCAACCACCCTCCAGTGGTGGTGGCCGACTGCCGATATTTAATTGATCGGTGAGGGTGTTTTTGTTAATTTTTAATATTTTATTGTATGAGTGTTTAGCTAAATTAACAGAACCATTTGGTATTTTTATTAATTTTCAAATCCTACCTCATAATAACCCCCTAATTCAACTTTTTCAAAAACTTAATAACCACTTATATGATTTTTTAATCACTAGATCAATATATAATATAATGTAATGTATTGCTACGAATATAGTGTAAATGTCATATCATCCAATTTAACACAACAATACACAACATCTAAACGCAGCACAATCTGAGATGAGTATGCAAAATCGAGAATGTTGTTTAGAATTAGATCTTATCTATTGTGCACTTTCGTTACTATTCTTCTATTCTTGTCCACGCGTTGCTCCATCTAGCTGCCACAACGCATCTACAATATCAGCATACAGCAAACGTAATATTAAAAGTTGAAAGTGAAGGAGAAGGAGAAAGAAAAGACCAAATCACACATGCATTGCTGGCACTCCTGTCTGCTCCACGTGTAAACCTTTTCTCCACTTCTTACCATCTCCTCCACCCACGTGTTAAGTCTTACCTCCTCTTTAATCAGAGAGATTCACGCTCTCCTCTATTTAACATCCACCTGAAATTCCTCTCGTAACGCATATTTCACTTCCACTCTCTCTCTCTCTCTTTCTTTCTGTATTGACATACACGTAACACAAACGTCATTCATGGCTTCCCACTCCCAGGACCTGAAGCAACGTATCAAGGATGGCCCTGCCGACACGCCCACCCCGGATAACAACTACACCAAAACCAAACGAGAGAAGAGAACGGACATGGCCAAACGTGGCCTTAGATCGTTGTCCATAGCCGTTGCTCTTCCTCTTGCTCTTGTCCTTTTTGACATCTATTATTTCGGTTCAAGTCGTAGCTATGTCGCCCTCAAGAAACCACTTTGGTTCCCTCCTTTGTGGGTAATACACACAGCCTGCATGGCTTCGAATTTCTTGATGGGTCTGTCGGCGTGGCTTGTTTGGGCTGAAGGTGGTTTCCACAAGAACCCAACGGCTTTGTCTTTTTGCTTGGGTGAGCTTTTATTGAGTTTGGCTTGGCATCCTATTGTGTTGCATTTGGGAGCCAATTGGGTTGGGTTGATTTTGTGTTTAGCTATGTTTGGGGCTTTGGCTGGATGTTGTCAGGCCTTCAGGGAGGTTAAACCAATAGCGAGTGATTTGGTAAAGCCATGTTTGGCTTGGACGGCGTTTCTGGCCATTGTAAATCTTAAGCTTCTTTTTCTTTGAAGTGTAGCTGATGATGTTCTTACTTTTGTTTGTAGTTTCCTTGTAAACAATATCTCTCAAGATATAGTTACATGGTTAGTGAGTAATGGATACATATCATACATAATTCAATTTCACAGTGTGGTTGGGCTTTAATGTTATCCAGAAATGTTAAATTTAATTAGATGGCAAACCATAATAAAACCTACATCAGTATCATCCCCTGGGAATCTATGGTGTTGAACTAATATGCTAGATTTTATTCTCTTTTAAATCAAATTTAATATTTTCGTTGCTTACACTTACAAGTTAAAAGAGTAACCGAGTTTCAAAAAATAAAATGGGCAAATCTACACGAAGGAGATAAGTCGATATTTAAGATGGCTTAGATATCATTTTTTATATAATTGGAATGTTCGGACAGTTTTGTGTGAATTGCAGTAACTAATTTTTTATTTATTGACAAGCTCATGAATCAGCTAAGTGAAAAATATAGTAGGTAAGTTTGGGTTTGGAATTTATCTCGGATTTGACAAAAGATTTCAATAATCTAAATGTGTTGAAGTGACCAATTTTCTATAGGTTAAAATTGACGTTACGTTTAGACAGAGAAGGAATTCCCTATCCAATAAGGTGTCGGTAATAACAAACTTAATCAGCCTAATCCAAATACTATAGCCATTGTTATCGTTAAGGTTAATGGTGCAGCTGTTAGGATATGGATAAGATAATTTTTGTTTTTTTGTCCTAAATTCTTCTCTCTGATTTCCAATTATACACTTGTTTCATGAAGTTGCGATTAAAATAATTCATACAATATTAATCAATTAAAACGTAGGGGAATTGCTTACGTGTCGAATAACCATGGATAGTGTAAGATGTTTACTAACCTATTAGTTCGTAGTGGGCCCGAGTCCCGACATATTCAATCGCTTGAAAATCTGAAAACAGTAAAACATTCTCTTTCAGAGCTATGTCGATTTTTAGTTAACGAAACGCGCGCTTTATTTGGTTAGGAAGAAACCATCAAATCCTAGGTTTTCATTCCCAGTCTGCAAAAAGCCAAACGCAATACTCAGCTGAAAAAAAAAAAAAAAAAAAAAAAAATTAGAAAGGGAAGAGGAAAATGATAGACAGGTGTTTAGGAGTTCAAAGATCGAGAAAGGTTCGTAGAGCTTTACGCAACTGCAAGGTCACAATCCTCTGCCTCGTCCTCACAGTCGTCGTCTTACGGAGCATTATCGGAGCCGGTAAATTTGGCACTCCGGAGCAAGACTTGACAGAGATCCGTAACCGCTTCTATCTTCACTCCAGAAAGCGCGGCGCCGAGTCGCATCGAGTCCTTAAAGACGACCGCCAAACGACGTCGGCCTCTTCTAATACTTCCAATACCACCAACTCCAACTTTCAGAAAGCTAACAACAATTACAATGAATTTGATACCAGCAATATTTCGGTCGACGAAGAAGAAGATGAAAACCCAGACTGGCACAAGCCCTACTCTGTCGGACCAAAAATCTCAGACTGGGACGAGCGAAGATCGAAATGGCTGAAAGAAAACCCAAAATTTCTGAATTTTGTAGGAGAGGAGAAGCCACGTGTCCTACTTGTTACGGGATCTTCACCTAGAGCGTGCGAGAATCCGGTAGGTGATCATTATCTATTGAAATCAGTGAAAAACAAGATTGATTATTGTAGAATACACGGAATAGAAATATTTTATAATATGGCTTTTCTAGATGCTGAAATGGCAGGGTTTTGGGCTAAGCTTCCGTTGTTAAGAAACTTAATGCTGTCTCATCCAGAGGTGGAGTTATTCTGGTGGATGGATAGTGATGCAATGTTTACTGATATGGCATTTGAGGTTCCATGGGACAGGTATAAAGACTACAATTTGGTGATGCACGGATGGAATGAGATGGTTTATGATCAAAAGAAATGGACTGGATTGAATACTGGGAGCTTTATGTTGAGGAATTGTCGGTGGTCGTTGGATATTCTTGATTCTTGGGCTCCAATGGGACCAGAAGGGATAATTCGGGATAGAGCTGGGAAGATATTAACCAAGGAGCTTAAGGATAGGCCAGCCTTTGAAGCAGATGATCAGTCAGCAATGGTTTACTTGTTGGCTACTCAGAGGGATAAGTGGGGTGATAAGGTTTATCTTGAGAGCGAATATTATTTGCATGGTTATTGGGGGATTTTGGTAGATAGGTATGAGGAAATGATTGAGAAGTATCATCCAGGTTTAGGTGATCATAGGTGGCCTCTAGTGACTCATTTTGTGGGTTGCAAGCCTTGTGCCAAGTTTGGGGAATTCCCGGTTGAAAGGTGCTTGAGGCAGATGGATCGAGCTTTTAACTTTGGTGATAATCAGATACTTAAGATTTATGGCTTCACTCATAATTCATTGGTCAGTAAACGTGTTAAGCGAGTTCGAAATGAGACAAGCAATCTACTTGCGGTTAAAGATCAGCTCGGATTACTACAATCACCCTTTAAGAAAGCTATCAAGGTATCCTCTTCATGATCAGACTCCTTGCTACTTTATTGCATAGATATAATATGTTGTATTAGTTGCACTGTTTTTATCCATGCAATTTGTCAAATTTGGTGATAATATTCTTTTGTTTCTTAACGAGTGTTAGATTTACTAATATGTTATCTTTCCCAATGGAAAACACAGTGCTATGCGTATACAGATTAATGTGTAATGAACTAGTTTTAATGGTGGTTATTATTGTTGATGCACCAACTGATTATCCCTGTGGTGGTTCCTAATTTGAAGGGCAGTTAGATGATCCAAATCCCAGGCTATGATATTTGTGCTGGCAGGCATTTTGTTATATGGTTTATAAGGAACATGTTCAGGATGATATTTATATGCATTTGATGTGTAACTTATTTAAGCCTAGTTATTGGAAATTCATTTATTAAAGCATAGTTGTGGAAATAATGACTCTCAGGTCACTTACTAAATCCTCTGACGAACTTATTTGTGTAGATCCTCTAGTTGAATTTCCCTAGTTGGCTTGAAGATTTGCTGAAACTGTTGGTTGCTGTTTTTTTCCATATCACTTTGCAAAAGGATTATTCATTTGTGCCCCTTTTGGGTAATCGTGTAATTTGGTGGGTAACTATGGAACAGTAATTTCATCATTGCTGGTTTTACTTTATCAGTTGCATTCATTTGTTTTTGGTTTGGGGAATTACCTTGTTAATACACACTTCTAATCAATGGACCATTTTTTTAATCCATTTTAGCATTCAAATCTAGAACCTTCAATAATACCAACCCAACTTTAAATCACCCGAGCTTATGTCCTGGTGCACAGGTGTGCACCAATCATGATAAATGTAGGTTCAGATATACTTTTTGTTCCTGAAGTTGCTCACCAACAGAGGTGAATCCGGATTGCTATAAGAACCTAACTTCAAGTTAACAAAGAACTTGGATTGCTTCATCTCTTATTCTGAAATCAACGAATAGATGAATAACTTGATACTGTCCTGCTCTGCATATGCTTTTAAATTACACAGCAAGTGTTCTGTATCTTGTATGCATGCTGTTTGGGGTGTGTCTAATAGATGCTATTTTGTTTTCTTGTGGTATCTCTGCATCCAAATACAAAATTCTAATGATTGGCTTTAGATTTTTAACTTTTTAGCCTTGTTGTGTCTCTGAAATTTGTGATAAAAGATTTGTAATTTGGTACCATCTATAATTTAATATTTGTATCGTGGAAATGCCTTTTATAATTCTTTTTAACAGTTCAAAAAGTTGATTGATGACATGACTTATTTTTTTCTACAGAAAATAGGATAAATCTGTCTTTGGGTCAAAAGGAATTTGCGCGAGGCAAACTTTCAGTTAAGCTATCTCTTACTGGAGTCAAGTGCAGAGATGAGTTTATGTAATTATAATCTTTTTAGGCTTCTCCAACAGTTAGCGTCTACCTGATGAGGAAATTTCATAGGTCAAATCATCCTGTATAACTCAGCAACTTGGTGGTGAAGCTTGCATCCAATTACACTTGACATATTAGGCGGCTGCCCACCCTACATCCCTCCATGACTAATAGTTTTGTTGTATCAGGCCTCATGTCTTGCTAATTAAATTGGCATTAGCATGTTTTGCAATGATGATGACTCAAATAAGTGAGGGGCTCAATTGGCGGCATCTGTCATGAACCTCAAGAAATCATACTTGTGAAAGAATTTTAACAATGTTTACGGGCTAGACATGGAGTTCCGAGTTCCAGCGTCTGCACTACTGCCTAAGCTTGCTTGCGGTTCTGATATGAACTGCTTCGTTCACATCTTTGATTGGCTATCATTACTAGGTTAATGCTTATGCATTTATGAGTATTGAGTTTTTTTCTTTCTTTTATTTGGTGATAAGAAAACATGTGAGAGTCTGGAATTTGCATGTGTTTTTTCTACTGCGCTTGGTGGTTTTGTTCTTTTCGGGTTATGGTAGAAGCTAAATATTGATCAATAGCTGCCGTGGAGTTCAATAAATTTGGCATAATTCCAGTCCGTTGGCCTGTGGCTGGTATGCTAAATAGTTTGTTATTGCCGTCATTTTACAAAGAGAATGCCACAAACGGAGATTTTGCATTAGACTAAAAATAAATAAAAACCTTGGCCAAGGGAGCCTACCAAAAGACAAAATTTTCGCAACACTACAATGAAACGAATTTTCACATCATCTCCCATTGTTTGGCCAAGGATTTATTAGTTTGTGAAACATTAATTTTAATAACAATAATTCGAAATACAATTTTATAAATTAATCCTTAAAGAATAACCTATAATTAATAAGATCATCTATTATCGTATAAAAAAGATATTTACTTAAAAAAATTAATTAGTCGGACGAGGTAATTACGTCTAAGGGCAAAATTTGAAGGATGCTGGGGTTGAGATTAAGAACCGTGTTGAAAGGTTGTATGTCCCTCTAAAGAAGAAATGGATGATCAGGAGACACTTCTGAAACAAGTGTTTGGAGAATCATCAGATTCAGACTCCGACGACTGTGAACAACCACAGCAGCACGAAAATAGATCTGAGAATTTCGGTCAAACTCCTAGCTGGCTCCGTATTAAGGAAATCAATGGATTATATTTGTGCGTAGACTTTCTGTCTCCTCAACACCAATCTTCTTTGCTCTCTGCTATTCAAAATGGTGCGTTTTCTTCTATATCTTGCTTCATTTAATAAGGATCATTCATACGAATGATGCTGATTCATATGTATTTTTACAGAAGGATGGTTCACCGATGCATCTCACAACCAGGTGCCGACACTGATTAGCATTTGTTTACATTTATAAAGTACTCTATAGTTTAAAATTATTAACTACTATTTTTTATTTGTGTTGTCGATATCTCATATCAGTTATAGATACATGGTACCAATTTCTAGTATATTCACTGGTTAATTCTTTTATGAAATTATTTGTAGTCCTAAACTGGTGCTTGTTGATGTTTCTAGAATTTACTTAGTACTAACTAAATCAAGAGTTTGGCAAAACCCCCGTGCTTCTAGTTGTTGTCAGTTTATCATTCAGAATTAAGCACTTCATAAGTGTTGGGCGGCAAGGTCAGGTGTTTTAGGTTGTGTTGATTGACTAATAGGTAAACTTCCTGTGTGGGTTGTATGGAAAATTCACTGGAAATCTTTTTTTTATTATTATTATTTTCTTTCTCCCATGTGAAAGAATTATGTTTTAGATGAAAATGAAATACTTTCAAGGGTTGGTTAGGAGCATTCTTGTATTGTTTTCAATATTCAGTCACCCATAATATTGGCCTATTGTGTTCCTACTCTCACATGGACAATATGAAGTGCTATCATGAACTGATGGATTCCATATGCCTGTTAAGTATCATAAATTTTATTTTTCAGCTCTTGCAGGTGGAAGTTAAATGTTTTGAAAGAAGGATTTATTGTTAAGAATGTGAAATCATTTTGGTATAAAGTTGTTCAATCCATGCCTTAGTAAAGCTCAATTTTTCTGTTCTCTTGCAGGCCATGAGGTTTGGAGATCTTCCAACATGGGCAACCAAGCTTTCTGATTCTATTCGTGAGGCTGTGCTTCTCAGTGGTAATGATTTGGCTACCTGTGATGGGGACAAGGAAGTCTGTCCTTTGCCATCAGATTTGTTGTGGAGGGAGCCTCTGTTTGATCAACTGATAGTTAATGTTTATCAACCAGGTGAGGTGCGATATGACTTTCTGAGTTGGTTATCTTGTTCAGAGTCCAGGTGCACCATCTAAAAAATTTTCTGTTGCAATTTAGTTTATAGATGAATAAAAATTGGCATCTTTCAACAAACCTTTCAAATTGTGTCATTGCCTGTGTTGTTATGTGTAGTGCCTGTCTTGCATGAGTTAAGCACTGTGCAATTTGTTTATTGATCAGTGCTGAGTCTTTATGCATCTTGTCTAAAATCATTATGAGATCTGGTTGCTCTTTTTGTAGTATATTCTTGCTCTTTGAGCATATTTAATTCTTCAAGTCAAGGTATATCTTGTATCTGCAGCTTAATGATTTTCGCAATAAGTATGCCCTGCATTCACTTGTCCACTGAGTTTCAACCCTTTTACAACTCATTGCATCGTATAGTGGCATGTGAAAATACTAGTTAGTTGATATGTAATTATGTATAGCTTATTGATGCTGAGGTTTTCATAATGATAGGGCATTTGTGCACATGTTGATCTAATGTGTTTTGACGATGGAATTGCCATCGTCTCCCTGGAGTCTTCATGCGTGATGCATTTTACCAGAGTCAGAGAAGCTTCTTCAACTGGCGAGAGAGGAATAGAGGATCCACCTGCCAAGAAGGTTCCAGTTTACTTAACTCCAGGGTCCTTAGTTGTAATGTCAGGAGAAGCTCGCTACCATTGGAAGCATGAGATAAGTCGCAAGCCAGGCTTTCAGATATGGGAAGGGAAGGAGCTAAATCAAAAAAGGAGAATCTCCATAACACTAAGAAAACTTTGCCGTGTTGAGTAGAGCATGTTTACCCCCAAATTTTGGGTACATATTGTTGTTCCTCTATATTCAAGTTCATTTTTCACGGAAAACATTATAGAAAGACGTAATTTCCAAATGTGGCACCGTATGACTTATTATTTATATCTGAATCTGATGCTTCTCAATCTCCGATTGGTCATCTTTCACAATGTCTGAGGTGTAAGGCAACAATTGCGCTGGAAATGATATGCTGGGCATTTATAACACTTGCTCGTGTTCCAATTATTAATTAGACAGAAGACTAATAATCTGAAAATCACAACTAAATAAAATATCATTTATTATGTAGTTAATTTTGAAGGAAATGATTATCTGTAATGTTTGGAAAATGATATTAGGCTTATCATGTTCATTTGTGATCGATGATAATTCAAAACCTATTATTATTAATGATGTATTTATTAGTTATGGCAATCTACAATTTCAGATAATATGAATTTGCGGGAAACAAAAATTTAGGAAAAAAATAAAATAATGAAAGTTTGTTGAGACGGTGGGACCAAGAGAATCAAAAGACAAGGAAGCTGAGGCTCACCTTCTCAATTCTCGTGCCAAAGAGGTGCATAACTATCCGTGCCATTCAGAGAATATGCAACTTCCCCCTCAACCCATCCTTGACACCTACTGGTGCACATCATCATATTTCTTTTACTTCCTCCACGTGTCAACTACAACATTCGCTCGCCTTCATCTCACCCTCCACTTTCACCGCTTTCTTCCCTATAAAACGGCTCCCTGAACTGCTCCTTCGTTACGTTCGAAGAGTCCCTTTCCTTCCCAAACACATAGTTATATTTCAAAATGTCTGATACAGATGTCAAGCAGCATACAGAGACGGTAAATCTTTTCCTTCATCTTATCTTTTAATTTAACAATAATTATTTTTACTTGGAAAAATAATATGTATATATAAATTTGTCATCGATTTTTGACAGAAGATTGAAGAAAATGAAAAAAGACTTAAGTATCTAGATTTCCTCCTAGTAGCGGCGATCTACATTATAGTCTGCTTTTCAACGCTCTACGAATACGCCAAGGACAATTCCGGTCCACTCAAACCCGGAGTGGAAACCGTTGAAGCAAACGTTAAAACCGTCATTGGTCCCGTTTACGAGAAGTTTCATGACATCCCCTTTGAACTCCTCAAGTTCGTCGATCACAAGGTACACGTCATGAAGACGTTATTTATTATTATTTTTTAAATTGTTTGGGTTGATAAATGAAATCCTTTTGTTAACTTGAATCCCAGGTGGACGAGTCTTTGAAGGAACTGGAAAGGCACGTGCCTTCTCTTGTGAAGCAAGCGTCAAGTCAGGCACGAGCTGTGGCTTCTGAAGTTCAGCGCGCCGGTGTGGTGGACACTGCAAAGCACATTACAAACAGTGTCTATTACAAGTACGAGCCGACAGCCAAGGAGCTATACTGGAGGTACGAGCCGATTGCCGAACAATATGCAGTTTCGGCTTGGCGGTCGCTGAACCGGCTGCCCATTTTCCCGCAGGTGGCTCAGATCGTTGTCCCAGCGGCTGCGTACTGGTCCGGGAAGTATAACCAGGTGGTTCGCTATGCAGAAGAGAGGGGCTACGCGGTGGCGGAGTATCTGCCGTTGATTCCAATTGAGAGGATCGCTAAAGCTTTTGACGAGAACGAGAGAGGGCCCACTTTTCGACCAATGGAGAGACGGTCATGGCACAATGAGAAATGAATAGCAGGATTTTGGTTTGTGTTTGTTACTTGTTACTTTTGGATTTGAGGGTTTGGTCCGTTTGCATCGGTCTGCTAAACCCTTTCTATTTGTTCTTCTTTGCTCCATGACTTTGCTGTTAACTTCTACCCAAATGAAAAAAAAAAAAATAGTTTGGTTAATGCGGTTGTTATTATTAATTCTGCTTTCAAGTTTTATTATCTTAATCAAAGTCTGTTTTAATAAATAGATTAACAATAACATCATGTCTAAAAAATAAACANAGACGGTCATGGCACAATGAGAAATGAATAGCAGGATTTTGGTTTGTGTTTGTTACTTGTTACTTTTGGATTTGAGGGTTTGGTCCGTTTGCATCGGTCTACTAAACCCTTTCTATTTGTTCTTCTTTGCTCCATGACTTTGCTGTTAACTTCTACCCAAATGAAAAAAAAAAAAATAGTTTGGTTAATGCGGTTGCTATTATTAGTTCTGCTTTCAAGGTTTATTATCTTAATCAAAGTCTGTTTTAATAAATAGATTAACAATAACATCATGTCTAAAAAATAAACACACTTCAGCATTCAAGAAAATGTTCACAGAATCAAGAATCGCAATAAGTTTTGCGAATCAATATTATGTACCTTAGTTTGCATAACAAATGATATATAACGGACGTGTTAGGTGCAGTGGGAGGATGGACGCCCACAATCACAGCTTAGAAGAAATATTTGAGTTGCCAAATAACGAAAATTAAAAAAAAAAAAAAAGTTTTCGAAACTTGATAATTCGTATCACCTGATCACCTCAGGTTCAGGTCCACCCACAAATATTTCATTTAGGAAAGCACAGGGAGGTATCTTCAATATTATTAATATGCAATTACATGGTATTTTGAAACAGTATCAATGGCTTCATGGATTGAATATCAAATCAAAACATCTTTTACAACCATATAGTTTGCCCGGATAAAGAAATGACAAGTCCCAAGAACATAGAAGGCACAGAGGTTAAAGAACGGAAGTAAACATAGCCATTAAAAAATTACCCAATTCAAAGCCAGTAAAACACACATCTTTGCTTGATAAAAAAAAAAACATGGTGTCTTATTTGAAAAAGAAAAATGAATTTATTCATATTTCCTCTCACCTCCACCTAATATTCAATACAATCCGGTATGCAAAATAACACGAACCTCATTAGAGCGATAACGTTCTACACCAAATAAACAAGCATTATTCAGAAAATTCAACTAGGACTAAATTATGCTTAGACATAAATCTAATTAATGGTGCCCCCTTCAGTGTAGTCTAAACACAGCAACAAAATAAAGGTTCTAGTACATAGAGTAATTCTCACTAAGCCCAGGGCGGAGGCTTTTATAAATTGTCATCACAACTGGAACAATACCCAGAAGTGCGATCTGAAGTTGATCTGATGTACTAGTTCGAACACTAATTTGTCCGCTGAGTTTGTTGTTCAATCCCGCACGTACAGCTATCTTAGAACCTCGCCCAACCGAAAATTGAGATTGAAGGTTGGCCCCCAAGGCAAGGTCACCTCTCCACTTCACTAATGACAAACCCAAAGATGATTGATCCTGGCCTATTGGAAAATCAGCTTCCCTGAGCCTAACTTCCAAATTGGCTCCATATGCAGAATCACCCTGAGATCGGACAGTCCCAGTGCTACCCACCAACATTAAACGTTTTCCAATTGCAATCTGATCCTCAAGTTTGAGCCCAGTGGCAACATTTTCACCTAAAAATGTAACAGATATTCCCGCAGCTGTCTTATTCTTTCTGAAATTTTTGAATTTGGTCTCCCCTCTGACGATATAAGCAAGCTGCTTCCCAACATTCTGGATGTCAAAGCCCATCATACTTGATCCATCCTCTCCATGCTTAGCAGAAACGGAAGAATCCAAATGAATGTTGAACTCTTTCTTATCCTTTGTGACTTGAACAGTAACTGCTGCTGGAAACCGACTAGCAATGGCCAAACTTTGTTCAAGGTTAACACCATCATACCCACAATCATGGTCCCAACCATGGGTATCCAGAACTGGCCTTGCCAAGAACTGTGATGTTGGTTCCAAGAACCTGTACCTGAAAGCTGGATTATCACCATCAAAGGAAGGCGGCAAGGCCATATCAGGTAATGGGACTGGCACAGCAGCTGGACTTCCATTTTCCTGATCAGCATCTTCTCCAATATACCCATAATCATCATCAGCAACTTTTCCTTTCTTCTTCATCTCTCTCATTCTTCTCGACTCCTCTCTCCACTGCTTTTTTTGTAGGAGTTTCACCCGATAATCATACTCCTCAAAGTATGCCTTCTTTTGCTCCTTGCTAAGCTTGGCAATCTGAGCTTTCCTGAGAGGTTTGAATGGTGGGAGCTGATCGTATTCATCCTCATCTTCTTCTTGATCAGAATCAGACAAGTCAGCCAAGTCAATATCAGAATCACCATTGTCACCACCCTGATCAGTGGGGAGTTTTGGGTGTGTACGAGACTGCAACAGCCAAGACAACAAGTATGGAAGCGGAGGGGAACGGACACGGAAGCCAAAGAGTTTCCGATGGTCTAATGTCTCTTGAGGCTTTGAAAGAGAACTAGCTTCAGATAAGATCTTCATCGAATAGCATAACAGAAGTAACTGAGGTCTCCAAGTTTGACCGTTAGGAAGCACCTTTTGTCCATCTCTATTCTTTCGACAGGCAGGATGATTCTCAACAAGAGAAACTGGGTTCATCAAACTTGGATTCATCAGACGCAAGTCACCAACAGCCTGCCCTATGGATTGCTGAACAACATGGGAACGTTGGGCAACAAAAACTTCGTAACTCAAAGGGGATCCTGATGGCCCATCTGGAGGTGCAGATGCAGCATGGGTCAAAGTGACTATGGCACTTCGCCAAATTGAGGGACCAAGTGCATTACTGATTGACCTTAACAATGGCAGATCATTAAGATCCCTGGTCTGGCTGTCCAACCGATCCACGTAGAGGACAATATCCGGGGAACACTTCTTTGTAAACTTCTTTATAGAAGTTAAGGCCTTTCTATTGGCACCTTGTTCCATACCAGAAGATTTCAAACCTGGAGTATCAATGACCCTGATCTTAACTCCATCTACTGTTCCAACGATCTCTTTCACTGAAGTTGTACCAGGTTCAAAAGCATCAATCAAAGTCTTCTCCTCACCAAAAATAGAATTTATTGTAGCACTCTTGCCCACACCAGTTTTGCCAAGAACCAGTATGTTCAAAGAAAAGTCTAAATCATCTTTCCCCTCTGCTTCAAGCTGCAGGGCTGTTCTCTTTGCAGCATCAAGGTTAAATAATTGGCCAGTTTGCCTCCCTGCAACAATTGACAATCGGTACAGTACTTGCGCTGCTATAGAATCCTCTGGAGAGTGACCTAGTCTGTGAACAAGCCTCAGAAATTTCACCCTTAATTGCTGTAGCTTCTCCAATTTCTTTTTCTCTTCTTCACTCAAATTCTTGGTCTCAGTCTCTCCCCCGGCTGTGAGACTGGAGGGTGTAAAAAGGTTAGTGCGGTTTGGTCGCGCAGCAGGTCTTAGAGTACGGAGTGACGACCCCAAACCAGCTGGACGCTCAACAGAGAAAAGCTTTGATCCGTCTTGAGAGGTTATAGTTATGCCACCACCATCTGCATCAGCACCGGTAGCTGCTTTCAATAGAGCTGCCAATGCAGCAGAATCAAATAACTCCTTCCCCTCCCCTTCCTCATCAGTGTCTACTTCTTCATCCGAGTCAGTGACAATTTGACCATCAATTCTCTGTGAGTTATCACGAGAACTCTCTGCGCCTGAATGAGAACCAACACCCGATGCTTGTTCCAACTCTTCCAGGAATTGTTTGGCTGCTTCTGAGCTTCCAAATACCATTCCTTCATTCTCTCCATCGGTAACTGAGCCTTCAATCTCATATTCTTCGTCAGGATGATGGTCTTCATCGTCTTCAGCTTCCAAAGAAACTTGTACATTCGAAATTGTACTCTTTTCTGCAGATTCAGGTGATTCTGATTTGCCCGATGTCCCATTTTCCAAGTTGTCATTATTAACACTAAAAAAAATCTGATCATTTTCAGAATGTTTAGCCTCGTATTCCGACATATCAGCAGCTCTCTCCACTTCAATCTCACTCTGTTTGGCTTCTGAATCAGCTTTTGGTTCGATTTCTATAACTTCTTTGTCCTCCTTATCGACGGTAACATTGCCAGTATCTGAATTGTCATCTTTGGCTACAACAGCAGAATCAATTTTCTTTCCACTGGGCAGCACTTCTGTGACTTCCATGTTATTATTGCTTACTACCTCTTCCACTGGCTTCAATTCCACAGGTTCTTCCACAACACGGTCAATCGGATCAAATCCATTTTCCAAGCCCACATTTCCATTAACTGGGAACTCCAACCCTTTAATTTCAACATCCTTAACTTCCTCCACATCCCCAACAACAACAGCTGCTTCAGACTCTAAAGTATCAAGATTGATGTCATTTACAACAGAGTCCCCACTGTCTGTAAATTCCACACCCTCTGCTTTAATGTCAACCACCCCACTAGGTTCCCTAGTTTCAACAAATTGTTGACCGTCAAAAACCTCAATTTTTCGCTCCTCAACGCCCTGAAGCTTCTCAGGCACAAATTCACCAGAATTATCCTTCTCACTCGAACCTGTTTCCACCAAACCATCATTTTCAGCAGAAGCCACACTCCCAATTTCAATGTTTTTCACAAAAACCTGACCCAAGATTCCCTTCAATCCTTCCTCACCATCACCAAATGACTCCTCCCCTCTGAAAACCCTAATTTTCGAGTCTCCTATAACATTATCAGCATCATTATCATTCACGGACACCTTCTCGATCGAGGCAACACTGTTGGGCATTGGAAACTCCGGAGAATCCACAAACAAAGCATCGGAATCATCCCCTTCAACCGTTTTTTTAATGGTTTCATCAACTGGTTCATCCATAACTAGCTTCTCCGACGGCGTTTCAAACTCCTCCTCTCCGCTCACAAACCCCCCATCCTCAGACCCAACATCACTATTAGCACCATTACTGTCGGTAATACTAGTAGTTTTACCATTATTAACAGCCACAGAATCATTGTTCTTCATAAAATTATGAGTATTCTGATTATCATGAGAAAGAGAAGCGGAAGAAAAACCTGATAGATGTGAGATGGTTTCCGGTGCAGAAGTGTTGGAGTCCATGGTGGAAATGTTTTTCCGGTACAAAAAAGGGAATTAGGGTTTTAGATTTAAATTGGTTGGTTGGTGTTTGAATTGGGTTTGAAGAAGAGATACGAAGTTGTTGGGAGAGAGCAACTGAGAGAGAGATAAGGTTACGTTGTTGGTGTTTGTGTTAGTGTGTGACCGATTTTTATGAAAGCCTCATGGAGTGGTTTTAAGCTCAGCTTTGGCCTTTAGGTGGATATTTCGATGTCCATACTCACCTCAAATTACATAAGTACCCTTCTCTTTGCTCCCATATTTTTCTGTCAACTACCGGCAACTGGTACTAGACCACTAGTGATACGTAAGGAAGATTATTTTCCAGTAATTTCTTTCAACTATCCATGAGAAATATAATTATCATTATCATTTTTTTTTTTTTTTTGGCTTTGGCGTATGACAACTATAAATACAAGGAAAAAACTTTTTAGTTATTGCCATAATGGTTCTTTAATTTAAATTTGTAAAATGTTTTTAATTAAAAAAAATACTTAATTTGTATTATGTTTACTGATACTTTTTTATCCCAAATTATAAAGTCTGCTTGTATTTGTATAAAATGGCAATGAAAAATGTTAAATGCGTTAAAGGTTTATTTCCTTTAAATTAAGGCAGTTGAACGAGAGATGAGACATATCACTCCACGCACTACTTAATTATAAATAAATTGTAAAATTTTATTCCATTAATGTGAATACATTTGATCATCATTAATAACGATACATGTGAATTGTGTGTGTATAAACTGACCCGAACATCCTGATTATCAAAAAAAAAAAAAAATCTCACTCTCTTTCTAATTGGTCATTATGAACAACTTTTCTTATCACCACAAAAGAAAGAAGGCAATGGAGAACTAATTAAACTCGCACATACATTGTGACTATAGTGATTTTTTTTTTTTTTAATTTAAGATATTTTCATATATCATTCTCCACTGTCCATTAAAAAGAAAAATAAAATAAAATAATAGCGTCCAATATTGAAAAACTGTTAGGATTAGGGTTAGGGTTGTTCTGATTGTTTGTTGGGTAGCCGTAGCCTCTCCAAGGATAACGTTAAGGATAGTGAAGTGATGAGTAATATTTGTTTTGTTGTGTATGGTTTTGTTTGTATTTGTTTGGCGATTACGTGTTTCTTATTACTCCCTCTTGATTCTCATCCTCAATGGTTGGCCAGTTTTTGCTTCTCTTCACTCATCACCCCAACCCATAACTACTGCTCCATTGTTTCCTCTTTTGCCTCTATAAACTCCAAACTCTTCGTAATACTCAACTCTATAGTCTATTCTTATTGAAATTGAATTCGTATATTATCTTGTTATAAGGCCATCATGGATAGAGCAAAAAGTGTTAGGTCCACAGCCCACTGGGCTAATTAAGTCTCAATCAGTTGGGTTAGGGCCAAGGCCCAAGAAAGGACAAATATTTCTCACAAAAGGATCTCCCTCTCCCTGGTCAAATAGTTAATATTATTCAGGCAAATGATTAAACCTAATCAACCCCATGCATGATTCCTTCTCCACTTTCTGAGGTCCATGTGATGTGACCACTTAAAAAAATTTATCCATTTCCTAATCACCATTGTTTGTAGGTTGGCGGGCGACTAATGAGACCCCTATAAATTCACATGACATTTATTATTTAATTGAAACTTTACCATACCCATTTCACCTAAAACCAAACAATAATTGCTTTTTGAGATATTATACATAAAATTATTGACTTCCAAGAACTTTACTACTTCTTCATGAATTATTATCACTTTTGGCATGCCACTGACTTGGTCAAACCAGACGGTTCCACTTACACATAACATTGCTTTGGCACAACTTGACCCAAACACTGAAGAAAAAAAAAAAGGCTTGCACTTAATCACCCTATTTATGCTACATTCATTTTCACTTTAATGTTGTTTATGCAGTTTAGATCAATTCAAAGACTGATTGTAAACGCACTGTGAAGTCTTATCTAATGAAATGAGAGACTTTGACTGGTTAATCTATTGACTATGACTATTTTAATTATTGAAGAAAGCAAGTCTATGTCAATCTTCGTTGGATTTTATCTTTAATTTTTAATATAAATGAATAAGGTGAGTAATATATTATAGTCGCATATCTTAATAATGGATTACGAGTCATTGTTTAATAATATGTGTTTGTTGACACCATAATATAATATGTATTATATATCATATAAATGAGATTTTCAAATCTACCAATATGTCCTAAATTAATCCAATGAAATCGAGAAAACCCAAGTTAACTGTAATAAAATTCAAACTCAGGAATAAATAAATCAATAATAAAAATAAGCAAGTTATGTTGATGAACTCTTAACTGTGGAACTCTATGTGGATGTGAGCTACAGTATAAACGATATTTCTTCTATAAGTTACTCGTATAATGTATCAATTTTGTTTGACTCTAATTTTAAGTTTTTGCATTTTCATTTAGTAATGCAAATAAGTTATATAAATTATTTATATTCTATAGAAGACGATTGAGACTTGTTTATATTACATAAATACATATATAATTTTTCATCTAATTCTGGTGTCACCAGGGGCGTAACTAAAATATACTCAATGGCATTACTTGATCCCACTAAAATTATTAAAAATATATGCATCCTCTTTATAGTAATACCCCACGTAAGAATGATTTGCAGATAGTCATAAAAAAATTTGGTTCCAAACTTGAAGCAATTATAAATAAAAATAAATTTTATATTGTAATAAGTTATAATTTTCTAGGTCCCGTCTTAAGAAACTTATCTCTACATAGTAATAATTATATGTATATTAGTAAAAAAAAATATATATATATATATATATATATTATGTTACCTTAACCGTTTAAGATGAAATAAGATATCTATCTAAAGTTGTCTGTGATAGTGATTTATGCTTTAGAGTTATTATCACATCTTTTATCCTATGGGTATATAATAAGTCGTCAGCATGAACATTTTCTTATTGAAACCAAAATATTTATAGCTTCTCAAGCATGTTTAAAGCTTCTTAGCACAAAACTTTTGGTATTTTCATACTATCATCCTTAAGGTCCGCTTGGGAGTTTCATGGTAGAGGTTATGAGGGTAAACCACTGTAGCGGTTTTGAAGGTAAACCATCATAACAGTTTTGAGGGATTTTTAATAACGGTTTTTAAAACACCCAACCTTTGTTTGGGAGTTTATTTTCCAACGATTCTAACCGTTTTTTAAAATAATAAATTTATATATGTGCCCATAAAAATACCCGAACTCTAACTAATACTTAGGAGTGTTGTTTTTTAAATTATAAGGTAAAAGTTCTTTATTTATTTTCTACTGATTAGTATTTTATAACTTCAAATGTGATAAAATCTTTTTATCCTTCTTTATCATTCTTTACAGCATCAGCATCTGGAATGATTGAAAAATTGTAACTCCAATTCTCTAAGAAAGCATCTAGATTTGAGATTTTAATAAATTTTTTTTTATGACTGCTTAATATTATTTTATATTTAATATAGTTGAAGAAGTCTATAATTTTTTTATATATATAATTGGGATAGTTTTATGGTGGATATGGTATTTATGGAATAAAATTTTAAAACCAATTAAAATACCCCAATTTGGGGTGTATTATAAACCACTAAAAATTACACAGCACTTTGAGCCAGCCAAAACCAATGCATAAAAAATATGGCAAGTAATGGTTTTAAAACACCTCAAAACCAATCTAATTAAACCCCTTAAAACCAATAAAAAAAAAACTCCCAAGTAGACCCTCAGGATTATCTCCTTCATCTTTTTGTTTAATTCCAGTAATGATTTTTTCTTCAGTTAAAATATACACAACTTGTTGCTCATTTAGATGATTGAGGAAGACATTAATGTTCATTCGATTAGTGTAGTGAAACTGTCCATTTTGATCACTCAATTCATTTGTACTACTAAAACATGAATTATAAAATAAGAAATCAAAATATAACATCTTTATAGTCATAATGTTAGGACCAACTAAATTTATTACTATAAGGAGGTTATAACTTAACGGAGGTATAATTACAAAAATTATTGTTTTGATTAAAAAATTATTGCTATGATTTCTCATTTTATAATTCATGTTTTAGTAGTATTAGGATTTCAATTAATATTTAAGTAGCATTAGAATTTCAATTCATTGTTTTAGTAGTATTATAATAGTACGGAATTGAATATCAAAGAGTCATTGCAGAATTGAGTCATCAAATTCGACAACTTCACTATACTAATCAAATGGATATGTTTTTTTCAATCATCCAAATGAGTAACAAGTCATGTATATTTTAAATAAAGAATAAATCATTGCTGAAATAAAACAAGAAGAGAAACGATAAATCTTGAGGATGATAGTACGAAAATACCAAAAATTTTATGCTAAGAAACTTTAAATATGCTTGAGAAGTTAGAAATATTTTGACTTAAACAAGAATGTGTCAATGTTAGCGACTTATTATGTATCCGCAAGGCAAAAAATGTGATAAAAACTCTAAAAGCATAAATCATTATCCCAAACAATTTTACATAAATAATTTATTTTATCTTAATCTCTAATGTAATATAATATATATATATTACTATGTAGAAACAAGTTTTTTAAGACAAGACTTAAAAAAATTATAACTTATTATAATGTAAAATTTATTTTTATTTATAATTAGTTCAAGTTGGGACCAAAATTTTGTTTGACTACATAAAGATTAATCTTATATAGAATATTACTATAGAGATGTTCAACTATATATATCTTATAATAATTAACAATTTTGACTCTACTAAAATTATAAATATTTTATTGACCCCTTCAAGATATTCTCATATTTTATTGATAAAAGGATTCGAAAATACTCATATTTTTTTTCAGGTTTTCTCTCTTCCTCAATTCCTCTCCTCTTCTCTCATAATTTATTCTTCCTTTGGCTAGATTAATAAAAAAATACTAGTAATCTGGAGGTCACAAGGTAAGATGACACTAATTTTTTGTTATTATGAGCAATTATATAACATTTTATGAATATGAAAAATCGTCAAAGATAATTATTGATTTTTTTTTTTGGTACGTGATAATTATAGAATTAATTATTTAGTATATATAACTTTTAAGATTATATTGTTAGATTATGTTTTTGTATATTTATTGTTTCAGTATATATTTTATTGTAAATTTATCAATTTAGATCTTTTGATCTTACACGCTAGAAATTGGAAATTTTAATTAGCTCTTTGCTGTCACATGACATACATCAATATTATTAAAAAATAGAATAAAACAAAAACTATAATAACTTTCATAAAATCATATTTCAAAAATCTACCAAAATTATGCTGTAGATTTATTACCATATATTACTTTATATAGTTTCCATATTTGAAATTCCATAGCGAATAAGTGTTAACATGAAAAAATAAAAAAATGAGTGCGAGATAATTTAATTATAGGGTAATGACTAATGCGTCCATAAAAAAGTTAAAATCCCTCCCGGAAATTAAAAGAAAAAGACTGCCAATAAACAAGTAAATCCATGTCTAATCAGTAACCCTTACAAGTTACAACGTTCATATAAAATATCAATATCGTATCGCGCAGTACAATCTGTTCTGTTCCTACTTTCTACCGCCTCATAATCTTCATTTCTTTCTTGATATTTTTTTAATATAATATAAAACCTTGATAACTGATCTCCCGCAATCATATTCACATACCCTCTTTCTCTCCGTTCTCTCTCAACAAACAAACGCTCCTTATTGGATCAGAGAAACAAACCCACTCACCCACCCACCCGCCCGCAAACAACATGGTCGAAACCAGACGAAGTTCTTCTTCTTCCAAACGCGCCCTTCCTTCTTCTCAATCTGCTTCACCTCCTTCTAATAAGCGATCCAAGGTACAAATTTGTTTTGTTTATTATTTGTTTTTTCTAGAGAAAAGATTTAAATCTGGGTCTGATTTGGGTTTTGTTTGGATTGAATTTTGGTGAAACCCTAGGCCAGCGAGGCGTCCTCATCGACGAACGATGTATCTGCGGGGCTGCCGCCGTCGACTGAAACCACAAAGTCTGGTTCTGAATCTCGAGACCCCGAGCTCCGATCCTCTGATCCACAGAACGCCGATGTTGCCAAGACCGTTGACGCCGACAAATCGGATGATGTTGACATGGAAGCTGATGCTTTGGGTTCTCCGCCGACTCCAGGTGCGATCTTTTTGCTCTTGCACGCTTTTTATATCTTGAGTTTTTCTCAAAGAATGGGTTTTTCGAGGGCTTTTTCTTGGCGATTTATTCGGTAATTTAATTTGTTTTTAATTTATCTTTGTCGGGGTTTTAGGTGAAACCGTGGTGGATGAAGAGAAATCCAAGGCTGTCGGTGTAGTCTTTAATAATGGGCGTGTGAAGAAGCGCCCAACAAAATTAGCGAAAGGGAGTTCCAAAACCCCTTGGGCGAGACTTATTTCACAGTATTCGCAGGTCTGTTTCTTTGTTTTCTTGGCCTATGGTATGTTTGGTCATTTGTGTAAAGATTAAAAACAAGACTAAAAGTTATTTGTAAACATGTTCAACATATTAATTCGTCTTCTTTTTTAGTCCCAAAAAACCATTGTTACTCTCGTCAATTCAAATGGAAATGGAAGGTTTTTTGACTGAAAAATCTTGATTTTGGCTCTGCATATGGTGGGTTTGTTGGTAATTGCCAATCAGAGGTTGGTAATTGCAAACAAGTGAGGGATAGTGTTTCAGTGACAACTTGGCCAGCCTTTATGTTCTTAATGAAAAAGAAGGCCAGTAAAGTTTTTGGTATTTGTCAGAAAAGTAGCTGAAATGATTGTTTCTTTAGGACTTTTAAAGGGCTCTTTAGTGAAGCCTCCTGCGTTTGGATCAGGTTTCAATTTGCATGATTGGTAAAATTCTTAGTTGTTAGTTGTTTTTGGTAATGCATTTGCAACAGTTATTTGTTTAGATATTTTGGATGAGTTCTTTTATACGTCTTTACTGGGTCTTGTCCTTATTATGGAAGTCCATTTTCCTCTGTGGATTTTCACTCATTATTATGTTAAGAAAATGAATACTATCGTTTAGCTGGCTAATCTTTTCTCGGAATTTTTTTTTTGTATAGAGGATTGTTTTTCCTTTGTATGTTTTTTATTTGATGGTGGTAATTGCTTCGTCTTGTCAATGAGTGAGGATTGCTGATCTTTAGACAAATCCAGATGTTATCTGTTTTTCTTATCAATCACATATTGTTTCTGATGCTTTGAAGTATTGCATTCATTACAGAATCGTCACATGAACATGTGTGGTGCTGTTTTTACTGTTGGTCAGAACCGTCAATGTGATTTATATCTTAAAGACCCATCTGTTAGTAAAAGCTTGTGTAGACTGAGGCGCATAGAGGTAAGAACACTTTGCTGTCACAATTGCATTTTGGAGACATCGCCATTGAGGGGATGCCCGTGGGCAAATTAATTCTCATGATTCATTTCAGTTTATGTTTTATGATGGCAATAATTTTTTTTGCTCTTTTTGGCATTGATGATACTTAGAATGGAGGTTCAACTGCTGCTGTACTAGAAATTACCGGAGGCAAAGGTGTTGTTGAAGTGAATGGCAATATTCACCATAAAGATTCTATTGTAAATTTAAGAGGAGGCGATGAAGTGGTTTTTAGTGTTTCCGGAAAACATTCTTATGTATCCTTTTTTCTAATTTAAAATAGTTCCATCAACCTTGTTTAGAAGTTATATTATTCCTTATTTCCTTTTTAGTTCCTAATTTTTTATTTGTCTCCACAAAAGTGAAAATGTTCATGGTTTTTGCTTTTGCAACTTCGACTTGCTTTTGACAATCATTACCGTTGATGGATATTCAGTAAATTCCTTGACTAGGCAATAGATATTTCAGCAGCTTAACGATGAAAATTTAGCTGCACCTGGCATACCTTCTTCGCTGAGCATTTTGGAGGCACAAAGTGCTCCACTGAATTCAATGCATATAGAGGCAAGATCAGGAGATCCCTCAGCTGTTGCAGGAGCATCAATATTAGCTTCTTTGTCAAGTCTCAGGAAAGACTTGTCCCTTCTTCCACCACCTGCTAAAACTGGTGAGGACATTCAAAATACTGAGATATCCTCCCTACCCTCTGGCTGTGATGGATTAGAAGACCGTATTCCAGATGTTGAGTTGAAAGATACCACAAGTAATAATGATCTGGTTGGTGTTTCTTCGAGGGGGAAGACTGTTAACCCAGCATCTGATGCTGCTAATGAAAACCCAAACCTTGATAGCATTGGACTTGATTCTTGTGTAGATGCTGAAATTGGGAAGATGCCTGAGCCAACTTGTGAAATAAGGCCACTCCTGCAGATGCTTACTGGATCCACATCTTCTGACTTCGATATTAGTGGCAGTATATCCAAAATACTTGACGATCAAAGGGGGGAACTTAGAGAACTCTTCAAGGAATCTGGGCGTTCAATGGTTCTGATCTCTTCAAGACGGCAAGCATTTAAAGATAGTTTACAGGAAGGAATTCTGAGTCCTGATAATATAGATTTGTCGTTCGAGAATTTCCCGTATTATTTAAGGTGGTTTACTACGTTTTCTTTTTATTTATTTATTATTTTTTATAATAAGTTCTGCACTTCTTTCAGTATGTTTTGTCTTGATATTTTATCATGCTTCTATATGCATAGATGCATGCACTATATTATTTTTGCATATTCTCTTTTGTTTTCCTTGTTGGATCCTGATATTGATTTGCTGATCTGCTTTCTACAGTGATACAACGAAGAATGTTCTGATAGCATCCACATACATTCATTTGAAGTGTAATAAGTTTGCAAAGTATGCGACAGATCTTCCTACCATGTGTCCTCGTATATTGTTATCTGGTCCTGCAGGTAGCTACAAGTTTTTGTCAATGTTCTTCGAAATGTTTGCTATTTTTTTGGTCTCATCTCGTGTTTTGGATCCTTATGATACATTATTGTCAACTTCTTATAGGTTCGGAAATATATCAGGAGACTTTAGCAAAGGCACTTGCCAAGCACTTTGGTGCTAGGTTGCTTATTGTTGATTCTCTTCTCCTGCCTGGTGTAAGTTTCTCTGACTTTACTGTTCAGTTTGCTTCCTTCAGTAGAATTTATTTTCATTTTTTTAAGAAAATATTTTTTTTTTCAGTTGATTCATGTAATTTGTTAACCTGTCTTTCTCTTCTGTTCATATATTTGATATGAATGGGAATGATAAGTTGCTGATAATTGAGAGCCATTTATAAGTACAAATTTCATTAAGAGAGGCTATTTTGATTTTTACGAATATATCATGTTACTAAAAATTATTTTGTGAATAAGGTTTTCAAACTGATGATATGATTCTTGTGTCGGCCGGGAGTTATGCCTAACTTGGGTTTCTTTAATGTAATAGTTATGGTTCTTTCTACTGTTAATTCACCAATTTTTTTTTTTTTCCATCTTTTCTTCAGGGAGCGACAGCAAAAGAAGCTGATTATGTGAAGGAAAGTTCAAGGCCCGAAAGAGCATCTGTATTTGCTAAAAGAGCTGCTCTTGTACAGCACAAGAAACCAACTTCTAGTGTGGAGGCAGATATCACAGGTGGGTCTGCAGTAGGCTCACAGGCACTGCCAAAGCCAGAGGCATCGACTGCATCATCCAAAAATTACACTTTCAAAAAAGGCATGTTGTTTCTTTGCATTATTCTTTTTTTTTTATTTTTTTTTTTTATGTTTTACAAAGGTACTCGATTTAGCTTTGGCAGTTGTGGGGCCAGCACTGATTTTTTAATGTGTCACTGTCCTCTGTTTCTTAACACATTTCAATTTTTAGCTGGATTGATGATTATAAATCTTCTTTCCAGGTGATAGAGTAAGGTTTGTGGGTAATCTACCTTCTGGAACTTCTCCTATGCAACCTAATTCAAGGTACGTTATCTTATAGTGTGCAAGCTTTTTTGATCATTTTTGGTTGTGTTGCATTGTTTTTTGCATCATTTACTGGTTATTATTTGCGCTGTCATCTCTTTACCATAAAGAGACTCAGGAGTCTGCTCCTATGCATATATGTCTCTATTTTGTACTGAGCACGGAGATTTGTGTATGGATCTTCGGTTCTTGTGTGAAGTTGCTGTTATACTTAACCCTAATTTTTTTGTCCTTATGTCTTTTCGAATATTATAAACAATTTGGTCAAAGGTTGGTTTGCGATTTTGTGATTTATATATCCTTATTCTTTTAATTTGGTGAAAAGTTGCGTTGCTTTTAATTTTTCCTGTATTTGGTTCTAACTTTCCCATCTACTTTATGCAGGGGACCGACTGTTGGGCTTAAAGGAAGAGTAGTCCTTCCTTTTGAAGAAAACGATTCTTCAAAAATTGGCGTTAGATTTGATAAAACGGTCATGGAAGGCAATAATCTAGGTGGCTTTTGTGAAGATCTTCATGGTTTCTTTTGCCCAGGTTTTTCCTACATTAATTAAAGTATCCCTTATTAAATCAGCACTTTTTGTGGCAATGTACTTCTCTCTATGTAATTTGTTGTGGTTATCTTCGCTTCTAATATATATATTTTTTTTCGTTTTACCTCACAGCTAGTTCACTTCGCTTAGATCCTTCTGTAGGTGATGATGTTGACAAGCTTGCTATTAATGAACTCTTTGAGGTACTTGCTACTCTTTCAGTGGTTTGATATTTATTGCCATTGTATTGCTATTTTCAAGTATTAAGCTCTTGAATGGCTTGTCTTTAGGTTGCATTGAATGAAAGCAAAAGCAGTCCCTTAATATTGTTTGTGAAAGACATGGAGAAGTCTATGGTGGGGAATGGTGATGCATATAGTGTCTTAAAGAGTAAACTTGAAAATTTACCCAGCAATGTTGTTGTGATTGGATCCCATACCCAAATGGACAATCGCAAGGAGAAGGTACTCTTTATATTGTTCTGTTAGGTTTTTAGTCATAATTTTATACTTTGTCATGACATCTGTGATTTAATGAACCATTGCTAACCATTTGGCTTTTGTCAATCTCTTGTTCTTCAGTCTCATCCAGGTGGCCTCTTATTTACGAAGTTTGGAAGCAATCAAACAGCTTTACTTGATCTTGCTTTTCCGGTATGCAAAGTGCCGACGTTAGGTTTCTTTTTCTTCCATTTCTTCCAGTTTTGGGTTCTGGATAACTATTTATTCATGTTCATACTTGTGCGTGGCAAATTGTGTTGTTTATTGAATGCTTGGAGTTAGAATTAACTATTTATTCATGTTCATACTTGTGTGTCGCAAATTGTGTCGTTTATTGAATGCTTGGAGTTAGAAAGTCTAGCAGATTACTTACTTTGTGGTTTTGCATACTAGGAAGGTTAAAACTGCTTAAATTTGCAATTTGTTTTGATGTTATTTTACTGCAATTTTAGTGGTTTCAAAAAATGTTCATGCTTTTTTTTGCTTTTATGGTGTTAGTATGGGTGAGGGTTCTGGTGTGGGATGAGGGACTGTGCTTTTCCTGCTGGAATTGGTTAAATCTGATCTAAGTATCATAATTACAGGTTTCCCTCTTATTCAAGTTTCATTCTGTGTCCAGTTAATTGTCTTCTGATTTATTGATAACCCACACTGTATTGTGTCATATAAACATCTGGGTTTTGTTAATCTTTTAGCTATACTTAGTTGATTTCATCTATTTTTATAGGGGGCACTGGGACTCATTATTAGGGGAGATCAAGCCTCTGATTATTTATGTGAAATTGATTGTAGTATTAATTCCTTAAAAGAAACTAAAATGATATATATACATTGCTTCTCATCCAGGATAACTTTAGTAGACTGCATGATAGAAGCAAAGAGACACCCAAAGCAGCAAAGCAAGTTTCTCGACTTCTTCCAAACAAAGTGATTATTCAACTGCCTCAGGTACTGATTTTACAATCTGTTTGTGATAGTGCGGTATGATTATATGAATTTCTCGACTAATATTTCCGAGTATCCTGCCAGGATGAAGCTTTACTTTTGGATTGGAAGCAGCAGTTGGAGCGTGATATTGAAACTTTAAAAGTGCAGTCAAACATTGTTAGCATACGCTCAGTGAGTATTACCTTATGATGTTGTTTGGTTGGCTTCATTTCTATTCTGCCCCTGGCAAGATGGTGACTGCTTCTTGTAGAAACTTGACAATGTGTGAATTTCATTGAATGTTTGCTACAAATGAGAAATAGATCTTTCAGTATTTTAACATATGAATAAGATCAGTTTAACTAGAGCCAGTTAGGTCTCAGTCCTATGCAAACATGTTGGTTAAGGGATTCTTAAGAATGATAACTGATGGTCAGTTTGGTAGAATTATAATGTATGAGAACTCTCTCTCCATGAGATCCCATGTATGTACGCTCATGTCTCTACAATCACATGGAAACAAATAATTATCTCCAATAATTAGTCTATTGTACACTGATGTGGGCTTATTCAGATGTGTATCTTCTTTTCTTGCAATTAATTAATTTTCTTTTCTAGGTTTGGGGATTAATTGTTTCATCTGTTATATCTGGATAGCTATATACATTTAGTTGTTTAGAGAATTAGTCTGATAAACTTTGTTAGAGAACCATTGGGCTTTTACTTATAAGTTTAAGCCTTTGGATCAAGCCTTTAATTAACATGGTATTAAAGTATTTATCCTTAATTTGGATCCCTGGTTGTCATGTATCTACATCTGTATTAGAGACTTTAATACTACTGTTGGACCTTTTCCCATTAGCTTAAGCTTTGGGTTCAGGTGGTTACTTACGAATATTACTGTAATTCAGGCTTCAGGCTTCATGTTTGTTTTTGTTATTTAATAATGATTTTCTGCTTTCAGGTACTTGTCCGAAATGGCTTGGATTGCCCTGATCTTGAAACTCTCTGCATTAAAGATCAAAGCCTTACAACTGAAAGTTGGTATTTTTAAACTCAATATTGAAGTCATTAAGCTTTATGTGGTGGTTCAACATTGTTCATTATACTTTGCTATTGTAACAGGTGTGGAGAAGTTAGTTGGCTGGGCTTTAAGTTATCATTTTATGCATTGCTCAGAAGCTCCAGAAAAAGATGCCAAACTTAAGATATCTACTGAAAGGTTACTGTGTTCTTCTAGTTGCTGCTGACTATAAATCTTTATCATTAGAATAAGTCAAATTATTGAATTTAATGCTCCTAACTTCTCTTATGTTAACAGCATCTACTTACGGTTCATTTTGCAGCATTAAGTATGGGCTGAACATTCTGCAGGGCATTCAAAGTGAAAGCAAGAGCTTGAAAAAGTCTCTGAAGGTAAAGTTTGATGTTATCTCTTTGCACTGTCACAAACTTATTCATGTTTTCTCACTCTGGCAACTGGAATATACGCCCTGAATATCAGGTCGTCTTACATTTTAGATTTGATTTTTTTCAGGATGTTGTTACTGAGAATGAATTTGAAAAGAAACTCCTTGCTGACGTTATTCCCCCTAGTGATATTGGGGTTACTTTTGATGACATTGGTGCCTTGGAAAATGTGAAAGATACCTTGAAGGAATTGGTGATGCTTCCTCTTCAAAGGCCTGAGTTGTTTTGCAAAGGACAGCTAACAAAGGTTTAGTTGCAATATATTTTGTTAATTATATGTCATTTAATATATTCACTTACCCATGCTGCATATTTTTGGATCTTTTTCTGAATTGTGCATTATCTTATGTTTTCTTCGTTTGATGCTCTTTTTCTACAGCCTTGCAAGGGAATTTTGTTGTTTGGGCCTCCTGGTACTGGGAAAACAATGCTTGCGAAGGCTGTTGCAACGGAAGCTGGTGCAAACTTTATCAACATATCCATGTCAAGCATTACCTCAAAGGTGTATATATTTATATGCGATCTGTTTTTTCCTGCTTCTTCTGAGTTTGAGTTTGCATGGCCTGACATCTCTGTATTAATTGCAGTGGTTTGGTGAAGGAGAGAAGTATGTTAAAGCAGTCTTCTCTTTGGCAAGTAAAATCGCTCCTAGTGTTGTTTTTGTTGATGAGGTCAGTTAAACACATTTGCTTCTTTTTGGGCTAAATTGTTTATGTTCTACCCCTTTTTTCGTGTTGTCATATCATACTGTTATATTCTTTAGCTGCAAATGATATTTTATTCACTTGGGTGGTTGTTTTAGGTCGATAGCATGTTAGGAAGACGGGAAAATCCAGGAGAGCATGAGGCTATGCGTAAAATGAAGAATGAATTCATGGTAAATTGGGATGGTCTACGTACAAAGGATAAAGAACGTGTATTGGTACTTGCTGCTACCAATAGGCCTTTTGACCTTGATGAGGCTGTAGTTAGGAGGCTTCCCAGGAGGTAAACATCTTATGCTAGCCTATTGTTTGTTTTTTACAATCTTGCAAGAAAATGACTATCATTGATGTTGTTGTACTATCTTTTTGTGCAGATTGATGGTTAACTTGCCAGATGCCCCAAACAGAGAGAAGATATTAAGAGTTATTTTAGCCAAAGAAGAATTGGCACCGGATGTTGAAATGGAAGCAGTTGCAAGTATGGCTGATGGGTACTCTGGAAGTGATCTAAAGGTTTGGTGTCCCCTTTTTTCAGTTTGTGCGCATATTCTTTATTGAAAAATGGAACTTTTTGCCTGTGCTTTGGTCCCTCTAATTATTAATTACTATTTTTTTTGACAGAACCTTTGTGTGACTGCTGCTCATTGCCCCATAAGAGAAATTTTGGAGAAGGAAAAGAAGGTTAGTTGGGTGATTTCTTGAAATTAAAACTCCGATGCAGTATATGTTGCTGGCACAAAAGTGCTTAATAAATTCATAGTTGGCTGTAAGTATGTGGGCTTGCATGGTATGCGAATAGCTGCATCATGTTTCTATAAGCATGGTAAACACCTGTTGGTCTGTCAAACTGGTCCTGTTAATGCCAATTGTGTAGGATATCCCTTCAGTTAGAGAAATAGTTCCTGGAAGTGGTATTCAATCTAGGGTATTTGAAATTTGATAATTGCTTCTTCCCTGGGCTCCTATGGTGGTCATGATGAACTTGACCATGTGGTGTAGTTGTTAAAATTGTTATGTAGATATTTTCTGAATCATATTGGAATGTCTTGACTGTATCGCTGATTCTAGTTATATAACAAGTTCTTGTTCTTGTCCTTGCCTCTTTCTTTTACTGGCTGGGTTTTTTGGCTAGTCTTTTTGTAAATGCAATCTCTTAGCCAAGAAGTTGAATACATCATAAGGATCCAATATGATATGTATGCCTTTTTTTTTCCTTGGTGTTTTTTGATGGTTTAAAAATCATATTGATGTAATCTGCCTTTGTAACTTGTCTCCGTGCATAATATTTAGGTTTAATTGATATTTGCGTGCTTCAAGTTGCTGCAGTGAAACATAAAAACTGTGCCTTGTCAAGTTCTTTTTATCACGGTGTTGTATAAATGGTTATTGAGTTTGTATAAATTGTTTGAGGATGGACCTGTGGTCGGAAACATATTTTGATTTATCGCTCAAATTTCAGGAGAGAGCTTCAGCATTGGCTGAAAGTAGACCTTCACCTGCATTGTATAGCAGTGCCGACGTTCGTCCTCTGAAGATGGAGGATTTTAGATATGCACATGAGCAGGTATTTTTTTGGTTTACCAATGTACACGTTGAGGTTGTTACTTCTTAGCTATTGATAATAAATGGGCACAACTGTTAAAAGTAAGAGCATCTCTCCTGTGTTGCTTTGTCTGGGTGGTGGTTAAAGCTGATTATGTCCTTATCTCCTTAATAATTAAAGCATTCCATAAATAATGTTTTGTTGTGTAACGTGGTACAGAGATGAAAGATACAGGAAAAAGCAATCATGATTTATATGTGAGGTTAATTGTTATATTTGATTATGGTTTACTTGATCTTGCTTTTCCGGTATGCAAAGTGCCGACGTTAGGTTTCTTTTTCTTCCATTTCTTCCAGTTTTGGGTTCTGGATAACTATTTATTCATGTTCATACTTGTGCGTGGCAAATTGTGTTGTTTATTGAATGCTTGGAGTTAGAATTAACTATTTATTCATGTTCATACTTGTGTGTCGCAAATTGTGTCGTTTATTGAATGCTTGGAGTTAGAAAGTCTAGCAGATTACTTACTTTGTGGTTTTGCATACTAGGAAGGTTAAAACTGCTTAAATTTGCAATTTGTTTTGATGTTATTTTACTGCAATTTTAGTGGTTTCAAAAAATGTTCATGCTTTTTTTAGCTTTTATGGTGTTAGTATGGGTGAGGGTTCTGGTGTGGGATGAGGGACTGTGCTTTTCCTGCTGGAATTTGTTAAATCTGATCTAAGTATCATAATTACAGGTTTCCCTCTTATTCAAGTGTCATTCCGTGTCCAGTTAATTGTCTTCTGATTTATTGATAACCCACACTGTATTGTGTCATATAAACATCTGGGTTTTGTTAATCTTTTAGCTATACTTAGTTGATTTCATCTATTTTTATAGGGGGCACTGGGACTCATTATTAGGGGAGATCAAGCCTCTGATTATTTATGTGAAATTGATTGTAGTATTAATTCCTTAAAAGAAACTAAAATGATATATATACATTGCTTCTCATCCAGGATAACTTTAGTAGACTGCATGATAGAAGCAAAGAGACACCCAAAGCGGCAAAGCAAGTTTCTCGACTTCTTCCAAACAAAGTGATTATTCAACTGCCTCAGGTACTGATTTTACAATCTGTTTGTGATAGTGCGGTATGATTATATGAATTTCTCGACTAATATTTCCGAGTATCCTGCCAGGATGAAGCTTTACTTTTGGATTGGAAGCAGCAGTTGGAGCGTGATATTGAAACTTTAAAAGTGCAGTCAAACATTGTTAGCATACGCTCAGTGAGTATTACCTGATGATGTTGTTTGGTTGGCTTCATTTCTATTCTGCCCCTGGCAAGATGGTGAATGCTTCTTGTAGAAACTTGACAATGTGTGAATTTCATTGAATGTTTGCTACAAATGAGAAATAGATCTTTCAGTATTTTAACATATGAATAAGATCAGTTTAACTAGAGCCAGTTAGGTCTCAGTCCTATGCAAACATGTTGGTTAAGGGATTCTTAAGAATGATAACTGATGGTCAGTTTGGTAGAATTATAATGTATGAGAACTCTCTCTCCATGAGATCCCATGTATGTACGCTCATGTCTCTACAATCACATGGAAACAAATAATTATCTCCAATAATTAGTCTATTGTACACTGATGTGGGCTTATTCAGATGTGTATCTTCTTTTCTTGCAATTAATTAATTTTCTTTTCTAGGTTTGGGGATTAATTGTTTCATCTGTTATATCTGGATAGCTATATACATTTAGTTGTTTAGAGAATTAGTCTGATAAACTTTGTTAGAGAACCATTGGGCTTTTACTTATAAGTTTAAGCTTTTGGATCAAGCCTTTAATTAACATGGTATTAAAGTATTTATCCTTAATTTGGATCCCTGGTTGTCATGTATCTACATCTGTATTAGAGAATTTAATACTACTGTTGGACTTTTTCCCATTAGCTTAATCTTTGGGTTCAGGTGGTTACTTACGAATATTACTGTAATTCAGGCTTCAGGCTTCATGTTTGTTTTTGTTATTTAATAATGATTTTCTGCTTTCAGGTACTTGCCCGAAATGGCTTGGATTGCCCTGATCTTGAAACTCTCTGCATTAAAGATCAAAGCCTTACAACTGAAAGTTGGTATTTTTAAACTCATTATTGAAGTCATTAAGCTTTATGTGGTGGTTCAACATTGTTCATTATACTTTGCTATTGTAACAGGTGTGGAGAAGTTAGTTGGCTGGGCTTTAAGTTACCATTTTATGCATTGCTCAGAAGCTCCAGAAAAAGATGCCAAACTTAAGATATCTACTGAAAGGTTACTGTGTTCTTCTAGTTGCTGCCGACTATAAATCTTTATCTTTAGAATAAGTCAAATTATTGAATTTAATGCTCCTAACTTCTCTTATGTTAACAGCATCTACTTACGGTTCATTTTGCAGCATTAAGTATGGGCTGAACATTCTGCAGGGCATTCAAAGTGAAAGCAAGAGCTTGAAAAAGTCTCTGAAGGTAAAGTTTGATGTTATCTCTTTGCACTGTCACAAACTTATTCATGTTTTCTCACTCTGGCAACTGGAATATACGCCCTGAATATCAGGTCGTCTTACATTTTAGATTTGATTTTTTTCAGGATGTTGTTACTGAGAATGAATTTGAAAAGAAACTCCTTGCTGACGTTATTCCCCCTAGTGATATTGGGGTTACTTTTGATGACATTGGTGCCTTGGAAAATGTGAAAGATACCTTGAAGGAATTGGTGATGCTTCCTCTTCAAAGGCCTGAGTTGTTTTGCAAAGGACAGCTAACAAAGGTTTAGTTGCAATATATTTTGTTAATTATATGTCATTTAATATATTCACTTACCCATGCTGCATATTTTTGGATCTTTTTCTGAATTGTGCATTATCTTATGTTTTCTTCGTTTGATGCTCTTTTTCTACAGCCTTGCAAGGGAATTTTGTTGTTTGGGCCTCCTGGTACTGGGAAAACAATGCTTGCGAAGGCTGTTGCAACGGAAGCTGGTGCAAACTTTATCAACATATCCATGTCAAGCATTACCTCAAAGGTGTATATATTTATATGCGATCTGTTTTTTCCTGCTTCTTCTGAGTTTGAGTTTGCATGGCCTGACATCTCTGTATTAATTGCAGTGGTTTGGTGAAGGAGAGAAGTATGTTAAAGCAGTCTTCTCTTTGGCAAGTAAAATCGCTCCTAGTGTTGTTTTTGTTGATGAGGTCAGTTAAACACATTTGCTTCTTTTTGGGCTAAATTGTTTATGTTCTACCCCTTTTTTCGTGTTGTCATATCATACTGTTATATTCTTTAGCTGCAAATGATATTTTATTCACTTGGGTGGTTGTTTTAGGTCGATAGCATGTTAGGAAGACGGGAAAATCCAGGAGAGCATGAGGCTATGCGTAAAATGAAGAATGAATTCATGGTAAATTGGGATGGTCTACGTACAAAGGATAAAGAACGTGTATTGGTACTTGCTGCTACCAATAGGCCTTTTGACCTTGATGAGGCTGTAGTTAGGAGGCTTCCCAGGAGGTAAACATCTTATGCTAGCCTATTGTTTGTTTTTTACAATCTTGCAAGAAAATGACTATCATTGATGTTGTTGTACTATCTTTTTGTGCAGATTGATGGTTAACTTGCCAGATGCCCCAAACAGAGAGAAGATATTAAGAGTTATTTTAGCCAAAGAAGAATTGGCACCGGATGTTGAAATGGAAGCAGTTGCAAGTATGGCTGATGGGTACTCTGGAAGTGATCTAAAGGTTTGGTGTCCCCTTTTTTCAGTTTGTGCGCATATTCTTTATTGAAAAATGGAACTTTTTGCCTGTGCTTTGGTCCCTCTAATTATTAATTACTATTTTTTTTGACAGAACCTTTGTGTGACTGCTGCTCATTGCCCCATAAGAGAAATTTTGGAGAAGGAAAAGAAGGTTAGTTGGGTGATTTCTTGAAATTAAAACTCCGATGCAGTATATGTTGCTGGCACAAAAGTGCTTAATAAATTCATAGTTGGCTGTAAGTATGTGGGCTTGCATGGTATGCGAATAGCTGCATCATGTTTCTATAAGCATGGTAAACACCTGTTGGTCTGTCAAACTGGTCCTGTTAATGCCAATTGTGTAGGATATCCCTTCAGTTAGAGAAATAGTTCCTGGAAGTGGTATTCAATCTAGGGTATTTGAAATTTGATAATTGCTTCTTCCCTGGGCTCCTATGGTGGTCATGATGAACTTGACCATGTGGTGTAGTTGTTAAAATTGTTATGTAGATATTTTCTGAATCATATTGGAATGTCTTGACTGTATCGCTGATTCTAGTTATATAACAAGTTCTTGTTCTTGTCCTTGCCTCTTTCTTTTACTGGCTGGGTTTTTTGGCTAGTCTTTTTGTAAATGCAATCTCTTAGCCAAGAAGTTGAATACATCATAAGGATCCAATATGATATGTATGCCTTTTTTTTTCCTTGGTGTTTTTTGATGGTTTAAAAATCATATTGATGTAATCTGCCTTTGTAACTTGTCTCCATGCATAATATTTAGGTTTAATTGATATTTGCGTGCTTCAAGTTGCTGCAGTGAAACATAAAAACTGTGCCTTGTCAAGTTCTTTTTATCACGGTGTTGTATAAATGGTTATTGAGTTTGTATAAATTGTTTGAGGATGGACCTGTGGTCGGAAACATATTTTGATTTATCGCTCAAATTTCAGGAGAGAGCTTCAGCATTGGCTGAAAGTAGACCTTCACCTGCATTGTATAGCAGTGCCGACGTTCGTCCTCTGAAGATGGAGGATTTTAGATATGCACATGAGCAGGTATTTTTTTGGTTTACCAATGTACACGTTGAGGTTGTTACTTCTTAGCTATTGATAATAAATGGGCACAACTGTTAAAAGTACGAGCATTTCTCCTGTGTTGCTTTGTCTGGGTGTTGGTTAAAGCTGATTATGTCCTTATCTCCTTAATAATTAAAGCTTTCCATAAATATTGTTTTGTTGTGTAACGTGGTACAGAGATGAAAGATACAGGAAAAAGCAATCATGATTTATATGTGAGGTTAATTGTTATATTTGATTATGATAGAATGTAGGAAAATGATAAGAGTTACCGAAAGTTACACACCGAATTTGTGCACCGAATGACGTGGCAAAATCCTGACTGTTGATTAATATTAACTTATAATGAATCAACGGTTAGGATTTCGCCATGTCATTCGGTGCACACCCTTCGGTAACTGTAGCATTACTTTAGAATATACTCTAGAATATATATTTTGCTTTTGATATGGAAGAACTTTAGGTTTGAGTTTTCATCACTAAATTCAGTAATTCAAGTTGTTGAATCCTTTAAAATATGGAATGGAATTTTCCCAGTAACTGGTTAAAATATGGTTTTGTTCATCTTTTTAGCTAGTGTTCTAGCTTAATAAAATACTGTTGGATATAGCATCGTGCTTTTTGATTGGAAGACTTTGTACTTTGAGCTTGAGATTTCAATTTGTAATATTTTGCCTGGCTTATATTTGAAATTAGTGAACAAATGTTATATGACATTTTGAGATGAATGCCTTACGGGGACCTTTATAAGAGTAGTATTTGTGAAAATTAGAAACATAACCATTATCAAACTCCAACAAGAAGGTAAGGAGGTGGAATATTATTGTGGATTTACAATTTGGGCAGGGTTTGTATGACCTTTTTAATTAGTTTAGTCAGAATGTTTTTCACAGTTGATGAAGATGACAGAAATGTTGTACATTGTTTATGCAGGTATGTGCCAGCGTATCATCTGAGTCTACAAATATGAATGAGCTCCTTCAGTGGAATGACTTGTATGGAGAAGGTGGATCGAGAAAGAAGAAATCTCTCAGCTACTTTATGTAGAGGAGTATCATTGTGTATAGGCCATTGTGTAGTTTATTCTTCTTTGTCATCTTAAAAGGGTGGCCAAGATCTGGGACCTTTATGGAATTCCATTGATAGTCCCATCTCCATTGTATTATATATAGGTTTTTGAAATTTTTGTTAGGAATTTTTTAATATTTAATCAAGCAGGTAACTTTGAGAAGATTTCCTTTTTCTGGTTCTTTTTTTTTTTTTTTTTCCCTTCTGCCTGTACATACCGATTATCAATTAAATAAGAATTATTCTTGTCATCTCCCTCTCTCCTCTCTACCCTTCTCCTCCGTCTTTACCTGAGACAAATCAATGCTTTTCTTATACTTGGCACTGCAACGTATTGACATGCAGGAATGCAAGTTGTACTGTTGCAGGTTTTTGTTTTTCTTTTCTTTTAAATATGCTGAATTATTGATTGATTAAGATTTGGAAAATCAACTGCCCCAAGGGCATAAATAAAAGGTTGTGGAGTTACTTATGGTTTTGCGGAGCACAACACAATAAATATATACATAAAAAGAAAATGCAATGACATTACTATGATCATCCTTTTTTATTTCTCCTATCCTATGTAACGCTTTGCTAATGTTAAATTCGCGCTTTTTCTTGAAGAGAGAGAGAGATTTTAAAATCCAAGGCAACTTTGAAAGTTAAAGCTTGAAAGACGTTAAAAGTTAAAACTTGAAAGACGTTGTGATGAATTATTCACGTAAGGAAGTGGAAAGCGTATAAATCTCTTTTATTCACGGCACTTGGATGAGAGATAGCAGCATATTGGAGCAGGTTTGGTTAAGTTTTATTTTGATTGCTGTATATATGATTGACTTTTGAGGGTAAAGTTTGTGTCATCATGTTCTTGCGTGTAAAATCTTGTTGAGTTGTGAGATCTTTTTATTCGCAAAACCAAAACCAGATCCTTCGATGGGGTTATTTTTGGAATACGCATGTGCATTATGAAGTAAATACATTTAAATTATGGGGGATGTGGTACAGGTAATCAAACAGCAGACAAGACTCTTGTGTTATGGAGGTCATGATCCATTCATCTACCTTCCTCCTTCCCACAAACTCTTCCGACACTCATCCTTCTCTCACCTACGCACTTATCCTCCTTAATCAACGCCTCCCAAGATTCGCTCCCCTTCTTTGGAACCATGGTAAGTGTTCTCATTCTCACTTCTTTTCTTTTTTTATTTGTTTATTTGAGGATTTAGTTGTTTGATTTTGCATAATGAAGCACAACTACGTGTGTGTGCTGATGGAGGTGCTAACCGTGTGTACGACGATTTCCCTCAATTATTGCCTCATGAAGATGCTTCTCATGTTCGAAACAGGTTTTTCTTTGTTTTGCTCTGCCTATCTATTTCCTTAATTTTTTTTTTCAAACCTAAAATTTATGTTTGTTGTTGACTCAATTTTGAATTTTCCGTTGGGTCTGCCTATCTTCATATTTCTCGAGGATTAATACGAAGTTATTCCAACTGAAATTGTCAAGTCTTTTTAAGCTTGTCTCTGAAATATGCAACGTTTTTCTGGCTTCTTTTCCCTTTCATGGAATAGTTTCTCTCTATTTAATTGATTTTTAGATTGTTGTGTAAGCGTTGCACAGTGATCTGGTATACTAGTATAAAGAAATTTATTTTCTGGCTATATTAACTGGATGCCATTTAATATAGCCAGATGATGGGTGCGTGCTGATGATGAATATTGACAGCTGATGATGAGAGAAAAGCTTGAAATAGGCGCCAAACAACCTTAAAATCTTACTGGAAAACAAAATAAATCACTAATTAAAAGTTTATTTTTTCTTTTATAAATAAAAACCTTGTACCTAATCTAGATCAAACATAATTAAGGAACTGTTATTACTTTTTGTGCATAATTTGCTGATACTTTCAACTGGGATATTGACTTGAATTAAATGTGTCCATACTAACAGACATTTTACAGAGCCTCTTCTGAAGCATGAACCCAGCAGATTACCCTGAATTTTATGGGGCTTTATATGGTTCTCATCAGCTTGTTTTGAGTTGTCATGGACTGATGTTCCTATTTCTTGAACCAATGCTTCTTATGTGGAGCACATCATCTCACAACATTAACTCTTGGGTTTCTATTAGGTACAAGCCAGACCTCATTAAAGGAGACATGGATTCAATCCGAACAGAAGTACTGGATTTTTACGCTAGCTTGGTAAGCTAACCTTTTGCATGGCTTTCTAGATATTGTTTTCCTTAATCATATTGAGTTATGATTTCCAATCATTCTCTACATCTTGGACACTTTAAACATAAATGAATATACAAAATGATCCATACTACAAGTTAACATGTAATGTTTTAAATGTTTTATTTTAGGGGTATGAGTTTCTCTTTTACAGAGTCTTGCTTTATTGTGGTACTATGGTTTGTATATATGGTGCTGGGGACCATTAGATGTTCATGCTTCTTTAATGCAGGGAACCAAGGTAATTGACGAGTCTCAAGATCAGGACACCACAGATCTACATAAATGTGTAGCATACATTCGGGACTTCACACCAAACTTGGAGAAGTCTAATGTAAGTAAAATTTAATTACTTCAGTTCCCTTTAAGTTCATATAACATGTCTTAGGTACCTGTTATATTAATCATCAATAGAATCATTTCAACTTGTCATTGTAAGTTTGGTAGGACTAGTTATTGTAAAATATTTCTGTACCTCGTGCATCTTGAATGTGTTGAAAGTCATTGGTTTATGTGCTTGGATGGCATTGTTATTGCTTTGTGTTACTGGGCAGCTCTGCATTCTTGTTGCCGGTGCACTTGGTGGACGGTTTGACCATGAGGCTGGAAACCTCAATGTTCTTTTTCAATTCTCAGCCATGCGCATAATCCTTTTATCTGATGATTGCCTTATCCACCTTCTTCCAAAGACTCACCGCCATGAGATCTACATCCAATCTTCTGTTGAGGGTCCACATTGTGGACTCATTCCAATTGGGATGCCGTCTGGGAGAACTTCAACGACTGGGCTGCAATGGGATCTTGGTAAGTATATTGCAAGCACATCATACCTTTCTAATTTTTGCTGGGCTTAAATGGTGAGAGCTCCACTTATTGTCTCTTATGTTAATCTGGATACTGTTTACCGCATGGAATAATATACTAGTAGCTTGTAATTTGACTAAAGGGAAGATAAAGAGAGGGGTTTTGGGGTGGGAGAAGATGGATATTGAGTTATTTGGTGACTTGATGATGTAAGCACTACAACCCATGACCAGCTATGCATATATTGCTCCTGTATTATAAGTTTTTCTTGATCACCTTTTTACCAATTTTTACCCGTGGATTTTGTATGATACTGAATTAGTGATGGTAAGAATGGTTCATTCGCTTGCAATTTTTTTTTTCTTTGATCTGGTTTGGTCATGTCATTTGCTACTGGAGTCTGATGCTTACTGATATTTCTATTACAGATGATGCAGAGATGAGGTTCGGTGGTTTAGTAAGTTCATCAAATATCGCTAAAGGGGAGAAAATAACTGTGACATCTGACTCTGATCTTCTTTGGACTATCTCAATTAAAAAGTAAAAAATGGTTATTGCATTCAAGATGAAGCACAAAGACGGCAAACGTTCAGGTTGTCCATGATCTGAATTGCTGTGGCCTCATGCAGCTTCAAAAAGATTTGAGATGATTTATTTGTGATTCTTCCCTATGTTTATACTAAAGTTGTAATATATATATAATATAATTATACAATATGAGGGAGGGGGAAGATTTACGTTAATAAATGTTGGAAATTCTGTTTAAAATTTCTTTTTTCTTGAATTTGTCAAGAGCATTGGTTTTTTTTTTTTTTTTTTTTTTTTTTTTTTTGATCTCTGCAAAATGCTAATGCTATTCATCTAAGCACCACCAAAGATGAAGTTTACTGTTGATTGTCAACACATCTCCGTTTTTCTTCAGCTCACCAAAAGGATGTGTTGAAATAATAAGAAGTGTATTGTTAGTTAATATGGACCATCTGAATTTGCTTGATGATTGGTCTGTTTGAAGCCTGTTTTTGTCAAAGTTATAAATCTTTGTTAAAATGTGCATTAGGGTTTGGGAAGGGATGAGATTTAATTCATATTATCCATTAAAGATGATGATGAACATTAGGATTGTCAAGAATGGAGCAGCCAACACCAGTAACCTCGGTGGTATAAGTTCTAACATCTATGGCTCCAGCTTCGCCACATATTTTTGAAGTGATTTTTACTCGCTCTTAAGAGAGAACGGAAAAGTAACTAGTGGCAGTAAATATGTGTTAGTCTTTTATTATATATGTATTAATTACTTTTGTCAACTTTTAATTAATTAATTAATTATATATATTAATTGTTTACTTATTACAAAAAAAAAAAAAAAAAATAACTATAATTATAAATTAACCAAATAAAAATACTAACTAATATTAATTAACGTTTTTTATGGGCGCAACGCAATTTGAATTTATTAATTTGATATAAAATATAAATGCGTGAAACTCCAGAGCCACGGCATAACTTANCAAAATGCTATTCATCTAAGCACCACCAAAGATGAAGTTTACTGTTGATTGTCAACACATCTCCGTTTTTCTTCAGCTCACCAAAAGGATGTGTTGAAATAATAAGAAGTGTATTGTTAGTTAATATGGACCATCTGAATTTGCTTGATGATTGGTCTGTTTGAAGCCTGTTTTTGTTAAAGTTATAAATCTTTGTTAAAATGTGCATTAGGGTTTGGGAAGGGATGAGATTTAATTCATATTATCCATTAAAGATGATGATGAACATTAGGATTGTCAAGAATGGAGCAGCCAACACCAGTAACCTCGGTGGTATAAGTTCTAACATCTATGGCTCCAGCTTCGCCACATATTTTTGAAGTGATTTTTACTCGCTCTTAAGAGAGAACGGAAAAGTAACTAGTGGCAGTAAATATGTGTTAGTCTTTTATTATATATGTATTAATTACTTTTGTCAACTTTTAATTAATTAATTAATTATATATATTAATTGTTTACTTATTACAAAAAAAAAAAAAAAAAATAACTATAATTATAAATTAACCAAATAAAAATACTAACTAATATTAATTAACGTTTTTTATGGGCGCAACGCAATTTGAATTTATTAATTTGATATAAAATATAAATGCGTGAAACTCCAGAGCCACGGCATAACTTAAAACATCCTAACTGTATCCGCCTCTGCTTTTTGGCGGCAAAAACAGTACGGTGAATTAGTCGTCCAGTCCATCTCTCTAACCCTAAACCCTAATAGTAAATTCGTACCGTAGATTAACCTCGTCGTGTCCCAAGAATTGCAATTTCTCTAATTCTTCAATTTCTTGGGGTTTTCCACAACATTCTTGCGTTAATTTTGTATCAAACTCATAAATGTTGAGTACCCATGCTATGGTTTGACGAATAATTATCATTATAGCTAGCGCTTCAATGGAATCAGAAACCTTAATTAAATCTCCGATCATTAGACCCATAAATAAAGGTGTGGTTCACAGAATCTGTGCCGGTCAAGTCATTTTGGACCTCTCATCTGCGGTTAAGGAGCTAGTTGAAAACAGCTTGGACGCCGGTGCAACCAGCATCGAAATCGCATTGAAAGAATACGGCGCAGAGTGTTTCCAGGTTATCGACAATGGCTGTGGCATTTCACCCAATAATTTCAAGGTATTTGTTAAAATTACTCGTGAAAGAAGTTTTGTGATTTCACATTTTTTTTGTTACAATTTTAAGGATATTTATGAAGTACTGTTTGTTTAATGGTGCGTGTGGTGCGGATTTTTCATGCAATTTCTGATATTGTTGAGGTTCTATACTTTATGATCTATATTAAGGTTTGAGTTTTACTATTAGTTAATTAAATTATAGGAAACAAATTTGGTTATAGAACTGTTGAAAATTTTGATAAGGTAGTCTTTTGATAGTGCTATTTTACTGTTTATTCAGCATTTATAATGTATTTCATTGGGTGCAGGTTCTAGCGCTTAAGCATCATACTTCCAAATTGGCGGATTTTCCAGATCTTCAGTCTCTGACAACATTTGGTTTTAGAGGAGAGGCACTGAGTTCACTTTGTGCATTAGGAAATCTGACTGTTGAAACAAGAACGAAAAATGAGTCAGTTGCAACACACTTGACTTTTGACCATTCAGGTCTACTAACAGCTGAAAAGAAAACTGCACGTCAAATTGGTACCACCATCACCGTTAAGAAATTATTCTCAAATTTACCTGTTCGAAGCAAAGAATTTAGTCGCAACATACGTAAGGAATATGGAAAGCTAATTTCTTTGTTAAATGTGAGTCCATCTTTCCAATAACCTTGTAGCAGTAGCAATTTTTTTTTTTGAAATAATTTTGTCATAAACTTTATTTAATGTAGGATATCGTTTTAATCTGTGGGTTCAAAGTAAAACTTCAATTCAATCTTATTGGTTATAAATTAAATCTTACCCCACTTTGGTTATCCATACTACGTTATTTGGGTTTACTGTATCAAATTCTTACTTTTTGTATATTCATACAAGTCATTGATATGAAATTTTTGGATTTTGTGCCTTGAGGAGTGATCGTGAATTTCTCTTGGATCAATGTTCATGTCCTACTCCCCTTCTAGCAAATGATTCATAATGTTGTGAGAACATGTGTCTTGATGTTATGATTAGAATTAAATATTCTTCTACATAATGTTTTATTATTTTGTCACAGTGATGCATTAGCACGTCTAGAATTACAAATTTAGCAAGAGTGAAGTTTTACTTGGTTAGAGATGCCATTCTTTTCTTATATGTTATCTCTGTGCTTTTTTTTTTTTTTTTTTTTTTTATCAGAGGTAGAATATTCTTCTCTGCTTTTGAAGTTTGGTGGGTAGTTCATATTCTTCGCTGCTTGTTTTTTTATTATCAGGCCTATGCACTTATTGCTAAAGGAGTTCGGTTGGTCTGCACCAACACCACCGGAAGAAATGTGAAATCTGTGGTACTTAAAACACAAGGAACTGGTTCCCTTAGAGATAACATCATAACAGTGTTTGGAATGAACACTTTCAGCTGCTTAGAGCCTGTGACTGTATGTGTATCAGACAATTGCAAAGTTGAAGGTTTCCTTTCCAAGCCCGGACAGGGTAGCGGACGCAATTTGGGAGATAGGCAATATTTTTTTGTAAATGGCCGACCTGTAGATATGCCTAAAGTGAGCAAGCTAGTGAATGAATTATATAAAGGTGCAAACTCACGACAATATCCCATTGCGATTATGAATTTCACTGTCCCTACTAGAGCATGTGATGTTAATGTGACTCCTGATAAACGAAAAATATTCTTTTCTGATGAATGCTCCATATTACATGTTCTAAGAGAGGGTTTACAGCAGATCTATTCCCCAAGTAATGCCAGTTATTCTGTTAATAAAGTTGAAGAGCATTCAAGGGAAGCAGATAGCTTTGAGTTTTGTTCTACTCGCGAAAAATCTCCTGTGATGTTAGAACAGTCATCTGCAGATGGAATTAAGTCTAAAGAAGTTCAGAAGAAACAAGCTTCAGGGAGCAATACTCATTTAGAAATTAAAATTGATACTCAGCGCTCACAAGCCATAGAAGGATCAGTCCACTGTACCGAGGAAAATTTAGTGGTGAAGGACTTCACTCTTAGACCACACGACAATAAGAAGGGTGATATTTTTCCAAAGTATTCTCCATCATCTTCAAGAGTGATTGAGAAAATAGTTGCTGAAAATAGAGAGTCAAATAGTCGCTCAAGCTGTATTCAGTCATCAATTAACAAATTTATAACTGTGAGTAAGAGGAAGTATGAATCTATTGGTACAACATTATCTGAAGTGCCTCTCCTAAGAAACCAGAGCCTTCAGTGTCAATTGAAGATCAATTCTGCTGCGGGTACAAATTCCCCAGTTAAGTATAACTCGGGTGATGATTCTGCTGAGATGAACAAGAATGAGCCGTTCAAGTGCCTTAGAACAGACAAGGTTTTCAAGGAAATTGAAAATCCCCTTTTTTCTGAAGCCAATGCTGATGGAAGACCTGGAGAGGTATGTAGCACAGTTGTATTTTAATAATTTGCAATCAGTAGGAAGGTGGCTTTGAACATACTCTTGAGTCTCTTGTACTGGGCAAATAACCTGTTATCACCTATCCAGGCGGCAGCTTATCATATAATGATCTATCATACTTTTTGATCCAAAAAATGGTGTTCTTGTATAATTTGTCACTTACAAGTATTAACTAGAAGAGAACTCACCAATAAATTGTTTAATCCTAACATTCATCTCTTGCCAGCATCTGGTACAAGAGTGCATCTTTCACCCTTGTCACATGCTGGACAAAGATGATAAACTAGTCTTTTAGAGTTTCTTCTTCAATTCTTCTTTCTAGTTCCTGTTAACTTAACTGGTATTAGTTTTATCCCAAAATCCTAATAATTTCTGAACTGTAAGTTCATTGGTTACCTTGACGGGATTTAGCCTGGTGGGCACCTGCATGATTCATTATGAGTTCTTAGTTTGTGGTTTGCTACAGGGGAATTATGATTGGTGCACATTTTGGTGATTATGGGAATTGTTAAGAGAAAAGTGTGCCAGTATATGTTTATCGTAAAGAGGCTTTCTGAGATTTTATCTTATCCTTTTGTAGATATGACCTTTCACAATTCAAAAGGTTTCTGCTTTAGTATCTGATGCTTCATACAAGTATTTACATGATTGCCTTTTTGAATCCCTGGTCATGTATAGAAATCTCTTCTAAATCTTCATGTGCTTATTGTTGGTTTACTATCCACCAATTGTAGCTTAAACATTTCTATTCTCTGTTTGACTATCTGTCTACAGGACTTAGTCACTCAACAAAAAGTCATGCCTGTTGTTATTTCACCATCTAGTGAGGGTCTCCAAAAAACTTCTGGTCTTTCAGCTGCAGCTTCTCCTTTAAAGTTTTCTGGATCACTGCTGGATGCTCCGGTGCCTTCTTCTGGACTGGATATATGTTCTACCTTGCAATTTAGTTTTGAAGAATTAAGGAAAAGGAGGAAGCAAAGGCTGTCTAGAACACAATCTAGCAGTTTTCTGTCTGGAAATGTAAAGATGAGAAGGTCTATATTAAGGCTGCTTTTTTGAAATGAAAAAGAAAATTGTTTCAGCACTTATTTTAATTGTATTGGTTTCTGGTGTAGGTGCTATGCTGCTGCAACACTAGAGCTTTCTCACCCAGAAAATGAGGAGCGTAAAGCAAGGGCTTTAGCTGCTGCGACTACTGAACTGGAAAGACTCTTTAGAAAAGAAGACTTTGGTAGAATGAAGGTGATTTCATGCATTTTCAGTTTGTTTATATGCCTGCATACACTTGAAGCTTGAGATTTCTTTAGCCAGGCTTACTTTACTGGGTGGCCTTTTTCTTTTTATTACATTTACAGAAATGGTTAGAAAGAAGAAAATTTTTTATCTAAGAAGTTTTTTATAGAAGAGTTTTCGGGTTCAGATGACTGGTCCTTTATTTGTGGTCCTTAATTGGTTTGGGTATTCATCCCAGCCCCTCATTAAGTCCTAAATTTAAGACACAGGCAGCTAATTTTTCTGCATGCTTGCCTTTATGGATGAAGTTTCATGTTTTATTGGTTAACAGAGGTAGTTCCCATTTTGTAGGTGATTGGACAATTCAATCTTGGATTTATTATTGGGAAGGTAGACAATGATTTGTTTATTGTGGATCAGGTAAACTTTAGCCAGCTTCTGGATGCATTTTCCAGATATTTTCATTCTTTTTCCTAAGTTGTAAAAAGGAAACGTTTACTAGATTTCTTCTGTGTCCAATTTCTGCTTGCAATTTCATGCTTTTCCAATGGTAATGGAATTTTGTATTTAGTTTTTTTCTTTATTTTCAGCATGCTGCTGATGAGAAGTACAATTTTGAGCGTTTGTCTGAATCGACCATCTTGAATCAGCAGCCTTTGCTTCAGTGAGGAGTTTATCATCTTTATCTAATTCTTAATTTTACTAATATTGAACTTGTTCCATTTTCTGGAATGTATGCTGGTATTGGTTTTGCTTAATCATTGTATAGTTTGAACAATTAGCCACTGTTTACTCTGTGTTTGCCAGTTACAAATCTCTTAAATCAAATAAATAATAGAAAACAATGCCTTTTTTATTTTTTACAAATGCAATGTCAAATCAAATAAGCGAAGGCCCAAACATCTCTTTGTGTCTCACTATCTAACCGAAGATGTTTGGACATTATTTTCTTTTCACCAGCCAAACACAACTTTACTTTCTTCTTCATCTCTTGTTGAAAATTCAGTTTATAGCTAATGACTTTACTCTCCCTCCCTCTCTCTCTCTCTCTCTCTCTCTCTCTCTCTCTCTCTCTCTCTCTCTCTCTCACACACACACACACCCCACTCACAAAATAAAAATAAAAAGTAAAAAACACAGTACTGCACCATCGTGCATTTAATGAAAATGCTTTACTAGTTCAATTTTTTGTTAAGTGTATTTATGGAATAAGCTTTCGTGTTTCCCTTGGATTACGGAATTAACTATTGAGTAAATTTGTTTTACTATTCACATATATATGGCCTAAAAGTATGAGAAACCCATTGATTGTGGACAATCCTGCGTTCACGATTATGCAATAATTGTAGCATTTTAATGGGCTGAACTTTTTGTTTTATTTTTGACATCAATTTATAGTATTTGTCAGCGGATTGCGGTTATTCTTGTATTTGACATCAGATTCTCAAACTATCTCCCATTTTTCTATGTAGACCATTGAGGTTGGAGTTAACTCCTGAAGAAGAAATTGTTGCTTCAATGCATATGGACACAATTAGGTGCTCACTAATTTCAACTTCTTTCCTTATGTTTATTTTATGAATTTAATGATTCTATTATCTTCAACAACCTTTTATGATATTGATTAGTTTTAGCTGAGATCCTAAAAGTGAGCTGTTTTATTCTACGTATCTATACTCATTATAGGCTCGTAGCTAGCTGATTTGTGTTAATATATGTTGTAAGCCTCAAATTTTATTTGGTATGGATCCTGTTTGAAACAGCTTTTAGGTTTATGCACTTTTTGATTAGAATTGAATGTAAGATTCGGACATTAAGTAGTTGCAATTCTTATACTTTATAGGTTTATTTTCTTTTTCTTGTGTCATTCAGATTTAGCTTTCTTTATTAAAGAAAATTCCTGATACTGTCTACAATTAAATGATAGTGACATGCTTTCTGGTTTATTGAATTTCCAGGAAAAATGGATTTGCATTGGAAGAGGACCCACAAGCTCTGACAGGGCAACGTTTTAAACTCAAAGCTGTTCCCTTCAGTAAAAACATAACTTTTGGAGTTGAAGGTAGTTGTTGTTTACTTTTCTCAACTCTTTTAAGATTTGGGGCTTTCCTTTGTTTTTAATTTGATGGTTTAAATGCCTTTTAGTTAACTGACTTGCACCGTTCAAGATGACAGTCTGTTCAGGCGCACCTCGCCAGGAATGTGAGTGGCTATATCTCACATAAACAGAAAAAAATGGATAAATTATGTGATTTGAACTTTGTTTTTCGTTTGAGTTCATCTCAAAAGACATGGAAATAGTGGGATAGACCTGTATATAGTTGCAGATGTGTCTGTTAGAGTTTATCTTTGAACTCCTTTTTTCCTTTTTCCATATATATGATATAAAGATTTAGATCAAGCCATGCAAAGAGTTGCTCAATCCTGGTTTGGTAGGCAGAAAGTTAGGAAATCAAAGCTTGGGCATGGTCAGTGAGATGCCTACTAAGTTCAGCTTGAAACCAAGTCCAAGCTATCCTTGAGCAGTTCAGTAAATACCGTTAAGTTGCTGTTTCTGCCCCAGGGTTGGAGCTGAAATTAATGTAGGTAGGGTTTACTCATACAAGGGATACTGAAATAACAAGTACAGAATTTCTTGTTAGTTCAGTTATGGTGTGGAAAGGTTACTGCAGGCAGAGTGAATTAAACACACATTTAAAACACTTAGAAACACTCATTAATCTCAGTGGAACTAGGTTAGGACATCTGTTGTCTTGTTTTTAGTTCTCCAGAAAGCAGACCTTCGGTACTTATTCTTTCTAGAAATGACATTTTGTTAAGTCTGCCTAATATTTTAATACATATTGACTAGGTATATTTGCAGGCAATTGCTTCAAGCAACACCCTAGTCTCTGAAACATAAATCATATATCTCTATGTGTGACCACTGCATACTTGCTTTTGTATCTGAGTATCACAATTGACTCTGATGAAGTAATTGTTGGCACCCCTTAATGCAGATGTGAAGGACCTGATTTCATCTCTTTCTGATAGTGAAGGGGAATGTTCAATTATCAGTGCTTACAAAATGGACAGTGCTGATTCTGTTTGCCCATCTAGAGTTCGTGCAATGCTGGCTTCCCGTGCATGCAGATCATCTGTTATGATTGGAGATGCGCTAGGAAGAAATGAGATGCAGAAGGTAATAGCTTATATCCTGTGAGTTATATCATGAAAAACTAGCCTAAACGTTTTTGCACGGTTGAGGGTGGATATTTGATCACTTAATATATTCACAATCAAGTATAAACTGTTTGAGCCTTTTCAGTGAATATCTGAAACTATCCTTTGAATTACCTGAGCTTCTGAAGCCTAACTACTCATGTGGTTCTGATATAATTCTTGATCTGTTCATTTTTTTTCTAGATGAGTCGTCATTAATGAGGATGTCAAGGCAAATAATTGTTTTTACATTGTTTCACTTGAATTATGCAGATCCTTGGGCATCTGGTAGGCCTGAAGTCTCCTTGGAATTGCCCACATGGCCGTCCAACCATGCGTCATTTGGTTGATTTGGCAACCATCCGCAAAACTTACAATGAAAATGATGCAAACTGTTGATGAACCTTTTGGCTACTGCTGTCTGCTGGACTTGGCTTAGCCTTAATATATGAATGGTTCCTTTTTGGTTATATTTATATTGTAGGAGTTCTCTTTTATTATGTTTTCAAGGAATTTAACTAATTCATGTAAGCAATATCCAACCAATTATGGGCTTAAATGTATATGTGACATCACCTATTTGTACATTGAGATGTATATATAGAAGTTTTTTGTTTTAGCAACGCATGTCATGATAATATTTTCTTTTGTGCTGTTATGTGGACTTTGGACATTGTTGTGAATAGCGACTGTGCTTTTGGCATTTGACAGTATTTCCTGAAAGACAATTAACACATTGAACTGAATAAGATTCTTGCTTTTGTTGCCTTTTAAATTAAGAGGCAGTCTGGTGCTAGCATTTCTGTACTCTTCTCATTTTTGTTCTTTTAGATGTATATTTAATGTCCATGTTCTTATACGAATAACTATGGGTCATTGAATCTGCTTTCAGCTTCCAACGACGGATCTAAATTGATACACTATTACTGTTGGAGAGCTACTTAAGAGCCCAGCTACTTCGGTATATGATTTCTGTTCAGTTCACTGCCTGGATGGATTCATTCATTGGTTTTGGATGATATTTGAGTAAAAATAAAAAGTAAAAAACACAGTACTGCACCATCGTGCATTTAATGAAAATGCTTTACTAGTTCAATTTTTTGTTAAGTGTATTTATGGAATAAGCTTTCGTGTTTCCCTTGGATTACGGAATTAACTATTGAGTAAATTTGTTTTACTATTCACATATATATGGCCTAAAAGTATGAGAAACCCATTGATTGTGGACAATCCTGCGTTCACGATTATGCAATAATTGTAGCATTTTAATGGGCTGAACTTTTTGTTTTATTTTTGACATCAATTTATAGTATTTGTCAGCGGATTGCGGTTATTCTTGTATTTGACATCAGATTCTCAAACTATCTCCCATTTTTCTATGTAGACCATTGAGGTTGGAGTTAACTCCTGAAGAAGAAATTGTTGCTTCAATGCATATGGACACAATTAGGTGCTCACTAATTTCAACTTCTTTCCTTATGTTTATTTTATGAATTTAATGATTCTATTATCTTCAACAACCTTTTATGATATTGATTAGTTTTAGCTGAGATCCTAAAAGTGAGCTGTTTTATTCTACATATCTATACTCATTGTAGGCTCGTAGCTAGCTGATTTGTGTTAATATATGTTGTAAGCCTCAAATTTTATTTGGTATGGATCCTGTTTGAAACAGCTTTTAGGTTTATGCACTTTTTGATTAGAATTGAATGTAAGATTCGGACGTTAAGTAGTTGCAATTCTTATACTTTATAGGTTTATTTTCTTTTTCTTGTGTCATTCAGATTTAGCTTTCTTTATTAAAGAAAATTCCTGATACTGTCTACAATTAAATGATAGTGACATGCTTTCTGGTTTATTGAATTTCCAGGAAAAATGGATTTGCATTGGAAGAGGACCCACAAGCTCTGACAGGGCAACGTTTTAAACTCAAAGCTGTTCCCTTCAGTAAAAACATAACTTTTGGAGTTGAAGGTAGTTGTTGTTTACTTTTCTCAACTCTTTTAAGATTTGGGGCTTTCCTTTGTTTTTAATTTGATGGTTTAAATGCCTTTTAGTTAACTGACTTGCACCGTTCAAGATGACAGTCTGTTCAGGCGCACCTCGCCAGGAATGTGAGTGGCTATATCTCACATAAACAGAAAAAAATGGATAAATTATGTGATTTGAACTTTGTTTTTCGTTTGAGTTCATCTCAAAAGACATGGAAATAGTGGGATAGACCTGTATATAGTTGCAGATGTGTCTGTTAGAGTTTATCTTTGAACTCCTTTTTTCCTTTTTCCATATATATGATATAAAGATTTAGATCAAGCCATGCAAAGAGTTGCTCAATCCTGGTTTGGTAGGCAGAAAGTTAGGAAATCAAAGCTTGGGCATGGTCAGTGAGATGCCTACTAAGTTCAGCTTGAAACCAAGTCCAAGCTATCCTTGAGCAGTTCAGTAAATACCGTTAAGTTGCTGTTTCTGCCCCAGGGTTGGAGCTGAAATTAATGTAGGTAGGGTTTACTCATACAAGGGATACTGAAATAACAAGTACAGAATTTCTTGTTAGTTCAGTTATGGTGTGGAAAGGTTACTGCAGGCAGAGTGAATTAAACACACATTTAAAACACTTAGAAACACTCATTAATCTCAGTGGAACTAGGTTAGGACATCTGTTGTCTTGTTTTTAGTTCTCCAGAAAGCAGACCTTCGGTACTTATTCTTTCTAGAAATGACATTTTGTTAAGTCTGCCTAATATTTTAATACATATTGACTAGGTATATTTGCAGGCAATTGCTTCAAGCAACACCCTAGTCTCTGAAACATAAATCATATATCTCTATGTGTGACCACTGCATACTTGCTTTTGTATCTGAGTATCACAATTGACTCTGATGAAGTAATTGTTGGCACCCCTTCATGCAGATGTGAAGGACCTGATTTCATCTCTTTCTGATAGTGAAGGGGAATGTTCAATTATCAGTGCTTACAAAATGGACAGTGCTGATTCTGTTTGCCCATCTAGAGTTCGTGCAATGCTGGCTTCCCGTGCATGCAGATCATCTGTTATGATTGGAGATGCGCTAGGAAGAAATGAGATGCAGAAGGTAATAGCTTATATCCTGTGAGTTATATCATGAAAAACTAGCCTAAACGTTTTTGCACGGTTGAGGGTGGATATTTGATCACTTAATATATTCACAATCAAGTATAAACTGTTTGAGCCTTTTCAGTGAATATCTGAAACTATCCTTTGAATTACCTGAGCTTCTGAAGCCTAACTACTCATGTGGTTCTGATATAATTCTTGATCTGTTCATTTTTTTTCTAGATGAGTCGTCATTAATGAGGATGTCAAGGCAAATAATTGTTTTTACATTGTTTCACTTGAATTATGCAGATCCTTGGGCATCTGGTAGGCCTGAAGTCTCCTTGGAATTGCCCACATGGCCGTCCAACCATGCGTCATTTGGTTGATTTGGCAACCATCCGCAAAACTTACAATGAAAATGATGCAAACTGTTGATGAACCTTTTGGCTACTGCTGTCTGCTGGACTTGGCTTAGCCTTAATATATGAATGGTTCCTTTTTGGTTATATTTATATTGTAGGAGTTCTCTTTTATTATGTTTTCAAGGAATTTAACTAATTCATGTAAGCAATATCCAACCAATTATGGGCTTAAATGTATATGTGACATCACCTATTTGTACATTGAGATGTATATATAGAAGTTTTTTGTTTTAGCAACGCATGTCATGATAATATTTTCTTTTGTGCTGTTATGTGGACTTTGGACATTGTTGTGAATAGCGACTGTGCTTTTGGCATTTGACAGTATTTCCTGAAAGACAATTAACACATTGAACTGAATAAGATTCTTGCTTTTGTTGCCTTTTAAATTAAGAGGCAGTCTGGTGCTAGCATTTCTGTACTCTACTCATTTTTGTTCTTTTAGATGTATATTTAATGGTTCTTATACGAATAACTTTGGGTCATTGAATCTGCTTTCAGCTTCCAACGACGGATCTAAATTGATACACTATTACTGTTTGAGAGCTACTTAAGAGCCCAGCTACTTCGGTATATGATTTCTGTTCAGTTCACTGCCTGGATGGATTCATTCATTGGTTTTGGATGATATTTGAGTAAAGAGTATTACTAGCCTTACAAAGAAGCATACAAAGAGTTATACAAAGAGTCAAATTCAGTCCTTGAAATTTATGATTGCCTCTTTCTCTCTCTCTTTTTCCCTTCTTTCAAGGGCTGGATTTGACTCTTTGTATGACTCTTTGTATGTCTCTTTGTATGCCTCTTTGTAAGACTAGTATTACTCTTAAGTTATATGGTAGATGAATGGCATTAAGTTTCATTGGTTTAGTACAGGTAATGATGCATTGTAACACCATGATAATTCCTTCAATCAATTGGTTATTAAATATTAGCATTTGTTAAAATTAATAGCATATTTCGAGCACTTCATTGGCCTATTAATGTCTTCTCCTTGGTTGTTAAAACTGAAAAACGAGAAGCTTAATAAAAGCTATTGGGAACAAGCCTCTAATTGTGTGACCCGTGAGTTATAAATTGGTCTTAAAAAAAAGGAAAAAAAAAAAAAAAAAAACATTATACTGTACAGGAAAATTGACATTTAAAAAAAAAAATTCCATTGGGGGGTGTATAATTGAAAAGGGGTAATTGTGGAGGCAATTGTGATAAAAGAAAAAAGTGGGACATTTTAAAAATAAATAACGCAGCGGGTGTGTTATTTGGTTGGCTGCGTAGTGAATGAGTGAACTGCCGTACCGTCTTTAGCAAAAGCCCGCTGGATCCCAATTTAAGAATTAAGAAAGAGAGAGTAGAGGCATCGAATCCAAAACAGCTTCACCTTCTCCTCCATAGGTATTTGCAATGTTTCTTTTCTTTTCTTAGGGTTTCTAACAAATCACCGCTATGCTTTATCTTTAATGTTCGCTTAGGGTTTTCAACTTTTAATGTAATCTTTTCCCTACTGTTTTCTCTCCTTCTGACTTTGGCTAATTCGCAGGCTACTTTTGTTTGCTGAGTTTTTGCCCTAGACAACATGGTAAGCTTCTTTCTTAACGTTCCTTCGTGCTGTGCTCAATTTGTTTCTCCAGAAATCAGGAAAAAATTTGTTCTCTTTAGCAATTCATTTTGTACTGCGTTTTTGCTAGAAGTTGTTCGAATCTTGAACTGAGGTTTTAGCTTCTGTTTCGTTTCCAAAGCAATATTGCGTCGTCTTTGCTCTTTCTTTCTTCTTCTTGATTAGAGGAGGATTTTTTTCGGTTTTCATTCTTGTTTGTAATTTGAAGCTTTTTGTTTGTTTAATTAAATTAATTTCTGTCTTTGCAGCTTCCTCTTTCTCTGCTTAAAACTGCCCAGGGTCATCCTATGGTAAGAGATTTGTCTTCGGTTTTCGTCTTGAACTCAATAATCTACTTTGGTGTGATTTTTTTATTTGAAAGAAAATTTTGCCTCACTTTTTTTTTTTTTTTCTTCTTTTTATGTTGTTTTGGTTATAATTTGTAATTTTTAGTGGTTATGTTTTGGGACAGTTGGTAGAGCTAAAAAACGGCGAGACTTACAATGGGCATTTGGTCAATTGTGATACTTGGATGAACATCCATCTCCGTGAAGTAATTTGTACTTCCAAGGTACTTATGCTTTACAGGATTTTATCTCTTTCTTATTCTTTCCCACATACATTTTTTAGTTATGTTTAGATTGATAATTTAAAATAAACTCTCTCCTATAAGAGACTTGGTTTAATTGGAATTTTAATGTAGGATGGAGATAGGTTTTGGAGAATGCCTGAATGCTACATCCGCGGTAATACAATTAAGTATCTTCGAGTTCCTGATGAGGTATCTGATCTATTCACATTTTCTATTATCTATTGTTGTTTCACTTTGCTTAGGTGAATCTGTTCACATTATTTGTATCTCATCAAAATAAGGTGTATGCATTTCTTTACAATTTTGTTTCATCAAGGGATTATAATTGTTATTTTGCTGTTTGTGACCTCATAAATTCATGTTTTCCTCTCATGTTTGTTGATGCATAAATAGACACTCGTTATGCTTTGTTGAAAGATCTTTATTTGGCTTTATATTGTTCCTTTACACACTTCTTTGTTGAAAGTTGGTTGGATTTATAATTTGTGTACCAAAAGTCACTTAATTGTGAAGATATAGCTCCTCTAGCTGAACCGAATTTATGGTTCATACTGTATTTCTTTTCGCAAATGGGGTCCTGCTGCTAATATTACAAAATATGAAATAATTCAAAACGGTGATGTCTCAACGTCAGCATAAAGCACGTCTTAGTGGTACTTAAAATTTGGATATTGGCTTTGGTTTTAATTCATTGTGGTTCTTAGATCTCCAGAGCTACAATGTTAAAATTCAATTCTCCTGAACATTTAGACCAGAAAAAGATGATTTTAAATATTGTGGACTTCGGTTTTTCTTCTTGTTTGTTTTGGTTTCTGTTTACTTAGTGACTTTTGGTGGCTGACTTTAATCTCATTCATTACCTTTGCATTTCAGGTGATTGATAAAGTTCAGGAAGAAACCAAGAGCCGCTCTGGTATGATTTACGCTCTCGCATTTTTGAGCAAGTGACAAAGTTGTTTATCTTAATTTCTATTTCTAATGGAGAGATCAATCATGATGAAAAAAAAAAAAAAAAAAAAAAAGTTGAATATTATGCATGCACTAAATTGTAAGGAATAAGTTGCTATTACTCTGTTTGAATGTTGCAGTTCCAATTATTGATTACTGTCTAGATCAGTGCAATCATCATAAATATCATGCTTTTCCTAAATACTCTTTATTAACTGTCATGTTCTTCCTTACCCTGTTTTTGCAATTACTTTTGTGTATTTTTTATTTACTTTGCTCTTGGTTTGAGTTGTATTTGACCATTGTTCCCCAATACAAGTTTGAAATCTAAACTTGAGTTCTTTCCAGATCGTAAACCACCTGGAGTAGGGCGTGGCAGAGGAAGAGGTAGAGAGGATGGTCCTGGTGGGAGGCAAACGAAAGGAATTGGTCGTGGGCTAGATGATGGAGGTGCTAAGGGTCCTGGTGGGGGCCGAGGCAGGGGCGGACCTGGTGGAAAGACTGGTGGTAGCAGAGGTAAGACTTTTCTAAAAATGTAGGGAGGAAAAAAATTAGTGGTTTTTCTTCTTTAAAATTTAAAGTGGGATGTATGTGCATGTCAAAGAGAAATTTTTAGCTGGTCTTGTAAGGGTGTCATAGCAGGTTGCTTCTTGACATTATTTCCTATTCTTTCAAAATCAACTTTTTGAAACGTCACTTTGTGGATCAGCGGATTACCTCTTAAATATGCTAAAATTCTGAGATTTTGAAGATAAATATTCCCATAAATTATTTTTTTGTTCATTTCTTTGATATCATAAAATGCATTGTGTCTAAATAATGGACAAATGATGTTTAAAATTTGGTGGCAGGTGGAGGTCGAGGCCGAGGTTGATGTGCTTCTGTAAACCTAAGGGGGAGTCTGCCATTTTTGAAGGCATTTTTTGGCCCATTTTCCATGTGGAACATTTATTTATCCAAATCTTTGGCCCGTTAAGTTGGAATGGTTGGTTTCTAATAACAAATGTATGTAGGCTGTATCAAAGTACTGAATGAATTTAGGGTTTTGTATGATGGTTATTTTAGTCATTTATGTCTTTTACCGTGTTGAGGTTCAAAATTATGATAGTTGATTTTTCCATTTCATGATTTTAGATAATGCTCCTCTTTTGCCTGCAAATGTGTCTTGAGAGATTCAAACTGTATTGGTATTCTTATTGCACATTCAATCTTTCACGAGCACCAAAAAATCAATTAGCAACTTTACATTTAAGTTATTTGTCCCATGTGTAGAGAGTAGTTAATCATGATGGTGATCTGATAATTTTACCAGAAAAAGACTTTTCACTAATTTCAACAAATAACTTACGAACAATACCCAAAAGTGAAGAAACAAGCTTAAAAAGAAAAAACTTTTGACAATAATTAACTGACTTTTCTCGTCAGTAAGGATGATGCCTATTTTTCTTCCGAGTAGTAGGTGACCTCGTAACCATTGAACTTGAAATCCAGGAACGATTTGTCTCCACAGACTCATCAGACAACCAACAGCATAAGCGGCCATCCTCACCACCTGTCCAACCAAAAATACCTTGGCTTTGGGCAGGTTTACTCCGCATGCTTGACATTGGCAACACACTCCGAACAACTGCACTGTGTCCACCCCCAAGAACTGCTTCTGCAGAACCTATTGTTGTCACTCCTTTATAGTTTACCGGGAAGTAGCCCATTGTACCAGCAACTGTACCACCGATAACCCATAAATTTCCAGAGTCCTCTGAATAGTGACAATCAACAAAATAGTCAACCTGCCAAATCAGATAAGCAACTGATCAATGGAATGTTACGTTGTACAAAATCTTGTTATTTTTTAAGTTGATGTGAAGAACTTGTCATTCTTCATAGCAATTTGAATTTGTGCAGGAACTTTTGCTTTTACCAATCTCGCAAGATGAGCATAATTCTTTTAGGGGATGACACTTACTTGATCCAGTGTCCAACTGTCAGAGGCTAATGTACGAGCATTTTCAAAGCTTACTTCATTCTTTCCATCCTTCCAGTCCCAAATACTAGAAGCAGTGGTAAATTACAGTTAAATATCATTAAAATCTACGGACTGAAGAAAACATATATACTAGTGTGCATGTATGTAAAATAAATGAAGTTCCTAGGCTATAAGTTGGAGAATGTAGGCCATAAAACACGCCACTGTGAAATGGATTGTGAATGGTAGACCAAGGAGAAAACTTTTGCCATACAATATTCTTGTGAATATCAACAATCACTATAGATCACTCTACAGAGAATAAAGATACCTTAAAGTTTCAATGTGTGTCAAACACCAGAGCTTCTGATATGTTTCTCCAAAAAACCCAACTTTCCCAATCGAAGTTCCCACATTGATGACCTATGTAATCCAACAAAATTCATAAGATATAACTGATTATTAATAAACTTTGTGCAATTGATATTTACTTTTTTGTATAAGATGCATGTAATTGAAAACAAAACACCCATTGTATACTGAAAGACCATAATCACTGGACACATGCTCAAAGCGTAAAAAGTAATTAGTACAATATGCTGATTTAAGTAAATATACGTAACGGCAGGATGTCTTCAGCACACACCCACAGAACCAGGACTTAATCTACAATGTGCAGTCAATGCTTTCAAGACATTTCAAACAAAAATGGGATTTCAATTCTGTCTTTCACATAGCCACACAATACCCAGCCTGACACAATTTCATACGACATTTTTAACAATCATAATACAAACATATGTACTTACCGATTCCAAATGATCATCATCATTGATATCTCCAGTAGTATCAAATATACATATCAACCCATCTACAGAAGCAGAAAGAAGCTTGTTTTGATGGTCAGGCACAAACTGAACCTGTAAACAATCATGGAGTGATTCTGAAACAATACAAACAGATTTTGAAGGATGAACTCTAGAAACAGGCAATATTCCCGAGGAGATGTTTACTCATTAAAGAAATGCACTACACTAAAACAAAAACAGAAAAAGAAATAGATAAACAAAATTGACTCATCTTCACAGGCTCCACTAAGTAATGCCATGACAGGACCTTGGCACCATGGTGATGCAAAATTGTCCACCATAAAGTAACATAATCATCCATTTATTTAGTCACATACACAAGTTCAAATATAGGTAAGATGCATGGCAGTGTCCATGCACCAAGATTTTTGCAGATTCAATATATCCAAAACCATTGCATTAACAACAGAACTCAACACTAGCACTGATTTCTATGGAATTCAGTAGAAAGGAACTTTGAAAGAACCAATTAATAAATCGCCATAGTAGATTTTTCTATTATATGCATACAGAGATTTAAAAATAATAGATGATTTATGTCCCATCTTGATCCTTTATAGCCAAGTCAGATTCAAGTCATGTAGATATCATCCTCAGGGATAACAAGTACTTCAGAAGTAAATAAAAATAAAAACACATTGCACAGACATTATAACGGACCTGAGTTACATCATCAACATGTGACTCCTCCAAACAAGCAACTTGCTTTTTGTTCCTCCAATCCCAGAAGAGTATCTGAGTCAGATTAATTTAAAAAAAAAAAAACCAGTAAATGAGCATTAAAATGCGAAACTATAAACTTTGAAATGAATACATAATATTCCACCAGGGATGAACCAGAGGAAAAGGTTAAAATTGAAATCACAAACTTTGGAGTATGACCCCAAGGCCAAAATGAATGCATATCATTCCTTCAATATGCAATGGCACTCAGTTCATAACAGTACAGGCACCCAATGTCTTAATGAAGACCCTTAAGGAGCAAAATGTAATATAAATAATAAAACATTCAATAGGTAAATATTGAAAGTGATGAAACCTGTGAATTACATCCAGCAGCAAGTAGATTATCGGTGGATCCTCCAAATGAGAAGCTGAAGATCTCCTGAGAAGAAGGAGCACTTATACTGGACACCTGAAATATTAAGATTACAACAGACAAAAGTAAGTACAAAAAGGAAACTGCATAAAAACAAAGAGAAGTTACAAACCTGATGGAAAGATCGAGTGTCCCAAGCTCTGATGGTACCATCAGAAGAACAAGAGTGCAATACATGTGGAGTAGATGGAGCTGAGAAACTTATACAGTTTATAGTTCCAGAGTGACCTTTACATTCACCATAATACTGACCGGTAACTGGTGAGTAAAGCTTCACTGCGTTCGTTGATAGTGACACCGCCATTAAAGACCAATCGTCCCTTCGGTTCATAATTTAAACCAAAAATAATAATTACTTAATTAATACAATAAAATAAAAATTCAGATAGAAACAATAGATTGAAAGGTGAAGAGAGAAAGGGATGAATTACTTGGGGACAATTTGGAAAACATAATCGTCGCCGAAGTTGGTTTGAATAGAGTTTTTGAGTTCAAATCTCTTTGTTGAATTTCCATTCTGTGATACACACTCATCCACTTCCATCTCTGTGCCTTCCTCCATCTCTCTCTCTCTCTCTCTCTCTCTCTCTTCTTACGTCTAAACTCAACTGTCAACTCCACCCCTCCTATCACTATCAGGGTTTTAGGGTTTATAATCCCGTAAAGTCATATTCAACTGAGTGTCTTTTATCCGCCAGTTAGTTTCTGCCATGTCATCAAATCTAGTGTTACTTGTTATCCGTTCTTGTTTATTTTCTTAATAAAATATACCATTTATAATGTAAGTAATTTTGGGCAAATTTTATGGGCTCCATCCTTATGCTTCCAAAAACCGTTAAAAATTCCTAAATATTCTCTAAACATTAAATAACACAATTTTAAAAACTTGCAAGATCCATAATTGATAAGTCCGAAAGGCAAATCAATTCAGGAGTAATGCTATAGCCACCGACAGTAGTGTATCAAATGACGTAGCAAAATTTTGACCATTGATTAATATTAAGTTAAAATTAATTAACAGTCAGGATTTCATCGCGTCATTCATTGCATAAATTCGGTGCATTACCGTCGGTGGTTGTATTATTTTCCATCAGTTCAGTGGCATAATTGGTTTCGATTTACAAATTCTCTCTTTTTATGTACTTCCGATGTTCTTCAAATTTTATTTCTTTTATGTATTTCAAAAACAGTATTTTAAAACCCAACCAATTCAACCGAGGCTCAGGGCTTTCATCGGGTCAGATGACCTGTTTTACTATTCATCGAAAAGCTTAGAAATTGAGATAATAATTGATGAACGATTGAAGATCAGGATGTTAGAGTTTTTGAAGAGAAAGTGCTAATGAGTACAATGGTGGCGACGGAGTGATTTTTTGTGAGTGAATCGATCGAAAATAGAAAAAGTAAAAAAGGCGACACCAACAACCGACTTTTGCTAGCGATTAGTGAGGTTCACGAGGGTAGGGTAAGTTGGGTTTTAGTTAGGAGATTGAGGGGAGTATTTTTGTAGCAATGGGGAGGGTTGTCAACGCTAACTTCAGTGAGATCTAGCCTGGAATGTTAACGCCGATGTCAATGAGATCTAACCGAGATATTGGTAGATTTATGGGGAATAGACTTAAGGAATGACTGAGATTGCATTTAGTGTATTGGCGACAACCATAGATTTGTTTTGGAATGTGTTCGTTAAATTTCAAACTTGTAGAGATTTCACAGTAATTTTCAAGGGTGTATTTTCTAAATTTTAAAATTTTTATCACCCTATTTAACCGGCAATCAAATTGGTTAAACCAATCAACCTAGAACTCAGACAACTTTGTTGAGTTGCACCTCCGATTAGTTATTAAAACATTGTTCAAAATTACAAATCACGAGGGTCTACTCTAACCGGAGTAACGAGGGCGTTTCTCCTTCTAAGCAATTCATTTTGTAAATTAACTATGACAATTTTCATGCGAGACTCATTTAGAGGCATAAATAAGTGAAATAACAAAGTGGATTTCGTAAAGAAAAATAATACAGTTACCGAAGAATGCACATCGAATTGGTACATCGAATGACGTGACAAATCAAGATTATACCACGTCATTCGATACAGATTACGCCACAACATTTGGATGCCACGACATTTGGTACACATCCTTCAGAAATTGTAACATTACTCTTTCATAAAAACAAATAAAGCATCAAAGCCGCAAAATGTAAAATCAAAGGAAAAAACCAAGCTCGCATAGCATCATTTTCTTTTCTTAAAATATCACATTCAAATCATCCCATTCGCACCATATCACAAAGCAAGCTCAACCGGATACTTTTGAGACATGATAGGTTGATTTTAAACCATAAATCCATACAAACCAGCAACCTACTCCATAAGCATAAATGGTAAAGATTTAACAATAAAATTGTTTTTAGAATGTTCATATAACCTGAACTAACTGATGTTTTACTCTCAGATCTCAATCATGCAGTGACTGAGCTCACAAGCTCACTTCCAAATTATCGTTCATGAAACAACTAAAAAATACAACATTCTAAAATCCAAGTTAAAGAGTTTTGGCAGGTTATAAGACACATAGTGCGCCAAATAATAAAAATTTTTGCGCCACTTGATTAGGGGAAAACACTCATTGATCCCTCAAAGAGACTGAAAATTTTATCCCATGCTGCAACCATGACATTCTAAACTACCACAGCATCATGTGCTTGGAGCAGCTTCCTTTTTTGCTTCCGAATTTTCACCTTCCTCTTCTGGCTTTGTTTCTCCTGGTGCTGAGCCACTACCTTGTTCCCCTGGTTTTGCCACTTCTAGATCCATTGAGTCAGAAAGTTAGTATTCATAACCAATTAGAAAAATGTAATAAAAATATGAAGAAAGCAACCCATGCCTATCCTTCCACATCCTAAGCGGACTGATAGGACTTGCATGATTACAGTAGATCCAGGCATGCAAATATACCTACAGTTTTTAATTTTTGAGAGCAATATGACAACCTACTCAAAAGTAAGTATGAACATCAAAGACCTCAGAAATTGTAAAATGTCCTTCAAGAAATGTGCTCCAAAGACACTTTTGGCTGGGGTATATACCATAGTTTTCAACAGTCTATTTAGAACTATCGTGATGTTGTTTATGTCTAACCCAAATCATTTATGACATAACCCAAGTATAATAAGACATCCCAATCCCATAAAGAAATGATGAAGACTACAGCAAGTCCACTAAAAAAGACTTGTGGCATCCTTACCTTCATCATCACTATCTTCAAAGTCACCCATTCCCTCGTCACCCAAGCCCCCCATGCCCCCCATGCCTCCCAAGCCCCCCATGGCCCCCATGGCCCCCATGCCTCCCATGCCCCCCATGGCCCCCATGCCTCCCATGCCACCAAAATTCTGCAAAAATAAAATAAAGCAAAATTAGGAAAAAAATTCCCAGTAAAATGTTCAAAACAGCAATGTTCATCAACTATATAACCATACCGAAAAGTCCATCCCTCCAAGATCCAAATCACCAACACCTAATCAAAACAAATAGAAAATTTTTTAAATTTCTCAATGATATCATCATTCATAATCCCAAACAAGAAGTTAAGGAGCAAAATATATAATTAAAAGAAGTATAAATTGCATACCATTATCCTCATCTTCATCCACCCATTTGTCCCAATCAACTTTGATATAATGTGGTGTCTTGCCATCTCCACGTAATAGCTTCTTCCACCACCCCTTCTCTGCCTTTTCCAAAATGCAGAATATGCTTCTTACTCCAATATTAATTTTACTTTCCTAGACCAATAAGAAACAAAAGTGTAAGACACAGCACAAAAAAATCAGAGAACTAGGTAACCAAATTGCCCAATTTAACAATAATTTCAACTACTAGCATGCTCATACATACAAAATCTGTCTTCGTTCCCTCTGCACTCTGAGGTTGAATTCCAACAAAATTAACCAATTACCCAGGTCTAATGACTAGAGACCAAGATAGATTCATTTCAAAATTAACTATATAGCCCAGTGGAATTCATCATCGTATTAAGTCCCTATTATCCACATATTTTACTACCATCAAACAACCTATCACACAAATAAAACATTACCATGGAAGTATAATAGAAGCAGCATCTTACCTCCACATTGACCTTATCGAAAAGATCCAATTTAATCTCATAAAGGTTGTTTTCTGCTCCTGCAATAGCAGAGAAAGTGAACACTCCCTCTGGCTCGAGATTGACCTTTGCATTTTTTGAGTCAGGCAACAGAACAGTAATGAAAACCTTGTCTGCCCTCTGGGCCCACTTCACCTCAGGAACACGGCTACAATATATAAAAAGCATTTTAAAGAAAGCAAAACCTCAAATGGATGTGAAAATACAGAGACACAAACATTATCTGAGTATGGACCCTTATTAACCAGTAAATGAACACAAGCTTTTGATGACAAAGTGATTTGGAGAAATAGGTACAAGACCAACCAAACAAATCGTAAATGTATATTGTACACAAAAACATTAAACTATGTGTAAATTGGAAAGGTACAACAACTCACATGTACACAAACATCAAACAACCATGATAACATACACTTATCTTGTATTGCAACATTCATAAAAATTCATTTGTAGACAGGATAAGCAGATCTAATGTGATTCTCCAGTAAACTTCTTTTGTTATGTATCAAGATGACTATCTTATCACTGCAAAATTGTTTATATTTTGATCCCCTACTAAAGTTGACTGTCTAAAAAATATTAATAAATCAAACAGCAAATGAAAAGTCTAAATTGAAGCAAATAATCCAATCTGACAAAATTTTCAGTTACGCGCAACTGGTAGTAGAATGATACAAAACAATATATACAATACACACCAAATCACAAAACCCTAACTCAACTGATACAAAACACACTGCCTTTAGATTAGCCACATTTCACAAAATGAAGTAATAAAATAGCCTTTGAATCTTACTCTAATTTTCTCCATATTCTAAAACCCTAATTAGAAGACTGAGATCTTCAACCTGAGAAATTTGTTAGATAAAAGCTATATTTATTTTAGCTTAGCAGCCAAACCAAATATTAGCAAAAGGGAACATTAAGTGATTATTGTACAAAATAAAAAGTAACAAAATACTTGTCAAACAACGGCGGCATAATCGTAAATCAGTAGAATCGGAATGTCAGAGAAAGAGAATAAAAAACGAATAAAATCTACGAGAGAGAAGAGAGCAAGAGCTTACCTCATCTTGTCTAGAAATAGAAACGAAACTGTAAAACCCTAATACAAGTTTTAAGAGTTGCGACTGCTTGTGGTTTTACGGACACAGGTAATAACGAAAGAGCCTATGTAAGCGTCATTTCTAGTTCTTTCGTCCGAGACTCTAGATATTTCCAACTATATTATATGAATGCTCAGACCACTACTGGCAGGGTGAGCGGTGATTGTTGAATCATAAATTTATGATGGTGATATATGAGATCTGACGGTCGTGGCATACCGGCATGATCATGTATAGTGATTTCGGTAAGTGTAAAATGGATGGGCATTTTGAATTGGTTGGAGAGATTTTCGGCCTAACACAAGAAAGCCCACTAGGCTAACGGTAAACGACCTGATGGGCCTGAAATTGTTAGGTATAATATAAACCCAAGCCTTATTCTTGGGGGGGAACTTTTTCACAAGTTATTTTAATGCAAGTATAAAACGCATATCAAGAGCTCAATAAATAGACCCTTTTTGGCTTTTTCTCTATTAAAGAAGTGAATTGTACATAACATATAGTTTACATACATTGAAAATCTTCTTTTTCTAGAAATAGTTAAAAGATGCAATGAAATAGCGCTTACTTATTGTCACTTGAAGAGCAGCTTAATGAAATGAAATTGGTGAGGTAGTTGATGATGGGCGCATTGTCCACACTTAAACTATTGAGGTGGAACTGGTACATATGTACAAATGTGACTGTGACTACGGTTGGTGAAATTGAAGTCTGCGTTTATGGTAAGATTGCCATTCTCGTGAAAGCCCACCCACCGGCAGTTTCAGATGCCGGCCCACAATTAACTTCTTCACATGGGAGGTTTCTCTCAGTATTCGACGAACACAACCCATTTGGTTGACCTAAAAATTCAAATGTGGGCAAATAAAATATAGAGTCCACAAAGGACATAAATGGTGATTTTGATAGTCTGTTTAAATGGGTAGGGAAAGAATAAAATAATGACTACGATTCTAGTCTCCTACAACATAGAGGTTTACGAAATTGGCGGGCCAATAAAGAATATATTTGCCATAGTAGTAAATATAGGCTTACCAATTTTAATATGTTATCTGAAGATTCTATTTCACTTTTCAAGTTAATTGCAACATTCATGTGATGAATATATAAAATTAATATAATCTCGTTTTTATTTCTAGACTCACTTCGTTTCTCCACCAACCCAGCTGTTATGAATAAAGGGTCGTTCCATTTATTCTAACAATAAATTTTGAAAACTAGAGTATAATTGATAAAAAAGGTATAATTTCTATTTCATTCAGTCATCTTTACAGAATACAAGAGTACGCTTATAAAGTCTGTACAGAGGAAACTATTCTAGGAAGGTAGTTACTACCATTCATAAATCTCGGCTAGAATTAGTGTAGTCCATAATCAGTGGACACCGAATAACAAATGGAAAGAATCCTGTAATCTCTACAAGATCCTCTGTTAACAACTCACGCCAACACCCCTCCTCAAGTTGGTGCATGGATGTCTCCAATGCCCAACTTGAGTGAGTTATAAATACCTTGCTTGAGACAGCCTTTGTAGAATATCTGCCAGTTGTTCTTCCGATTTTACAAAAGGAAACTGAACTATCTTAGCTTCAAGCTTTCCTTGATAAATGCCGGTCCACTTCAACATGTTTTGTTCGGTCATGTTGGACAGGGTTTTGTGCAATCTATAGCCGCTTTATTATCACAAAACAGATTCATGCAGAACCAGAGAATAGCCAATTTCCCAGTAGTCTATTAGCCAAGAAGCTCGCAAAGTCCTTAGCCATGCCTCTAAACTCAGCTTCTGCATAGATAGTGCAACCACCTTTGTTTTTTCTTCTCCAAGTAACTAGATTACCCACCACGAAAGTGAAATATCCTGATGTAGATTTTCTGTCGATATACTCCCAGCCCAGTCAGCATCCGTGTAACCATCAATATTTAATGATTATATTCCTGAACATGAGTCCTTTTCCTGGGGAAGACTTCAAGTACCGTAAAATTCGGAGCACAGCATTCATGTGATCTTCACTAGGATTATGCATGAATTGACTCATCAAACTCACTGCATAGGAAATATCCGGGCGTGTATGGGACAAGTAGATTAGTTTCCAACAAGCCGTTGGTAACTTTCTTATTCTGGGTATTTGGTTTGAGTGTTCTCCCAATCCATGATTTTGAACCATTGGCGTGTCTAGGCTACAATCAAGCATTCCTGTTTCGGTAGCAAACAAGTACATATTTCCTTGTGGATAGAAATATGCCTTGATTTGACCGAGCACTTCAATACCCAAAAAATATTAATCCCCAAGATTCTTCATTTCAAACTCGATTGCCAGATGCTTCTGCAAACTAGAGATTTCTCTCATCATTTCCTGTAATTATCATATCATCAACGTAAATATTAAAGCCGTTACCATCCCTTGTCGATGCTTCAAGAACAGAGTATGATCCGAGTTGCTCTGTTTGAACGCATGCTTCCTCATAGCCAAGCCAAATCGTCCAAACCACGCTCTAGGTGATGCTTTAGTCATAAAGTGCCTTTGCAGTTTGCATACCACTCCGGTTTGTGATGAGTAGTAAGGCCTGGTGGAATGTCCATGTACACTTCTTCTGCTAGATTCCCATGAAGAAACGCATTTTTTACATCGAACTGATGTAGAGGCCAATCTAAGTTTACAGCGAGAGACATCAATACTCTGACAGTGCTCACTTTGCTACTGGTGAAAATGTCTCCTGATAGTCTATACCATATGTCTGAGTATATCCTTGCGTACAAGTCTCACCGTATCTCTCTATTGACCCATCTGCCTTGTGTTAATGGAGACACACCACCTACATCCCACTGTTTCTTTCCTTTGGGTAATGACACAAGCTTCCAAGTATCATTTTTTGCAAAGTTGTCATCTCTTCAGTTATTGCTTGGATCCATTTGGGGTATCAAGGCCTCTTGTACGTACTGGAACATGCCAAGATAACTTGTACACAAAAGCTTTAAGGGGTTGTGATAATTTCTGGGTGCAAACATAGTTCGCAATCGGATACTTGTCTTCTTTTCTCCATGGTCTGGTGAGTATCGATTGGTGGTTGACCACGGTTGTACCAGAACGGTAATTGTAGCCAACAGAAACATCTATGTATTATTGGGAGAAGGGTTTAGAGATTGTACCTCAGGAGTATTTCAGGAGAGTGATCGTTTGTACTAACGTATGAGGAGAGGGCTGGTCTTGCTTAGTGAGTTGATCTTGATCTTGCTCTAGAAGTGGGAGAGTTCCAACCACATCAGTTCCAACTAGATTAGTGTCATGCCTGGTGAGTCCCAACCAGAACAGACGGTAGTTGAGATGGCTGAGTTTCATCAATTTGTTTATCTCCAAATTTGTATCTTCAAAGCCTGGCCAGTTCTCCCAATTGTCCACATTCTGTTCTTCACATAACAGCTCCCCCTGAAGAGAAGAATGGGGACTTTGATTTGGAAAGAAAGTCTCAGATTCAAGAAAAGTGACATCCATTGTGGTATAAAGACGCCTGGTAGTAGGATCATAACACCTATAGCCTTTCTTATGTGTGCGTATCCCAGAAAAACACAACGAATGCACATGGGCAAGCGTTTGTTCGCTGATTTTTATGCAGATGAGCATAAGCAACAACACACCGAATATGCGTGGCGGAAGCATCAAGACAGATGGCAATGACACATGATGAGCAAGAGCTTGTGGAGTTTCAAAGTTTAAGACTCGAGATGGCATTCGATTAAGCAAGTAACAGCAGTGCCAACTGCATCTACCCAATACTGTTGGGGTGCATGTGCTGCTGTTAGAGGGCTCGAGCTGTTTCGAGAGATGCCTATTTTTTCTCTCCACAACACCATTTTGTTGTGGTGTTTGAGAACAAGTGGTTTCATGATAAAGGCCATGTGCTTGGAAGTATTCTCGCAACTCATTATTGTCATACTCTCCGCCATTATCAGATCTAAGAATTTGAAGTTTGCAGAAAATTGTGGTCTTGATCATATTATGGAAAGAACGAAAAATTCCAAACACCCATTCTTATTTTTCATCAATACAGCCAAGTCATACGTGTGCAGTCATCTACAAAGATCACAAACCATCTAACCCCTGAAGAAATTAAATGGGAGCGGACCCAAAATCTGAGTGAATTAACGTAAATGGGGTCTCAATTTTTTTAAACTTATGGGATAGGATACACGATGACTCTGGCTAGAATGCAAGTTTCACACCTAAAATTAGACCATGTAAATTAGAAAACAAACTTGAAACAAACGCTTTAAGTAAGAAAATGATGGATGCCCCAGTCGACGATGCCACAACCAAATCTACTTCGAAGCATAGTATTTGCCCGGCCGAAGTCGAAATCATCCATGTAGTACAACCCTCCTTTAGTACCACGACCAATAATCTCCTTGCTGAGAAATCCTGGAAAATACAGAAACTTGGATACATTAGTGCACAACAATTCAGTTCTTAGTAGCTTGGCCTATAGATAATAATTTATTCGAAGAGATGGAACTTATAAAGTATTTGATAGTGAAAGAAACGGTGAAAGTGCCATCTTCCAGCCTGTAACTGGGTATGTCACTCCATAGCATGGCAACGCACGTCCGTTTTTGTTGAGTAGTTTCGACAAAATCTTGTGGATCAAATGTCATGTGATCAGTTGCCCTGAATCAACAATCACACCATGGTTACCTGGATCATTAAAGGCCGGATTTGTTTGCAATAGCAGGAAAGGAGTCCTCTTGTGGTACAAGGGATAGCTGAGATCAGTGTTCATGAGTGCGGCTCGGCATGAGTCTCGCCTGTGCCAACATCACGCTTCTTTTTTGTCTTGAGTTCATGCCACACTGGATATCCATGTAGCTTAAAAACGGTGTCTCTGGTATGTTTCATATTCCCACGTGTGTGCAACCCCTCCTCTACTTGTGACTTTGACTTTGTTGATGGGTTAAGCTTTCCATTGGACAAAATCTGAAGGACAGTAGGTGCTGGGATTTCTGTCCGCCTTTTGAGAGCATAACAGCACTAGGCGTGGTATCTCCTTTTGTCAACATACTGCTGCTGAGATCTTCCCTGCGAACATGTGCATAGGCCTGCTCTACTGTAGGAAATGGCTGAATTTGA